GAGAGTAAAGAAAGTACAGGTTTCATGGGTAGACTTGGAACCAAACCCCAGAACCACCAAGGCCAGAACCAACCCAGGAACCAACCTTCACAGGGTAGGTTCCAGGTTCTGCCATTAGAACCAAACCGAACCGCCCCATGCTCACCCCTAGTAGTATCAACACTTTTAACAGGATTTTGAAGAAAATGGGCATTTGTATATCACTCCTCATGCTTGTGTTATGTGTTTGAAGGATGGAGAATCCTGTAACTATCTTCTTATTAATTGTGAGGTAGAATGTAGCCTTTGGCAATATTTCTTTGATACCCTCTTTACTAGCGGCTTCTACTGCACCCCCCCTATATATATATATACAGTGATTGATTTTCTTAATCAGTGGGCAGGGTGGAAATGGGTAAAAGAGGTTCCCTTTATGGTAAGGCAGTCATCCATGCAGTGTGAAGAGCGTAACAAAAGAGTTTTTGTCTTCAAAAACTCTTCTTTGGAAGATTTAATGAGGAAAAGCAGTTTAGATACATCTACTGACTTCTTCAGTGGCTGCTACTAACATTGTTAACCTGGCTCCAAGATCCCCTTTGGAAAACATTCTTAAGTTTGATGGCAGCTGTGTTAGTCTGTCAAGTCACAGGGGTCAGGCAGGTATGGGGGAAGAATTCTAAAGTCCACTGTTGAGCTGGGTTGGGCCTTCAGTGGTCCTCTTGGAGAGGATGAAGCAGTTGAAGCTGAGGATCAAATCTTTCTGGAGGGTCTGAGGACTGTGGTATCTCTCAACATCTCTTTGGTGGTGGTGGAAGGAGATTCAAGGATTGTTATCAGTTGGATAAAGAATTTAAGGGATAGTCCGTGGAGATTCACTCACCTCCTCAATGAGTTCAGGGAATTCTTGTCCCGGGTAAATTGCCATTACAGGTGGATCCCTAGAGAACTGAATAGTGCAGCAGATGCTCTAGCAAAATATAGGGTGGGCAGGGATTCGTTGTATATTGATTCTTTTCTACCTTTGTAAATTGGTTGGGAGGGACTTCCTTTTTTTTGGCTTTTCAGGTGGGGTGTATGGCTTAATACATCTGGTTGTAAATCCTTCCCTCTCTTTGCTTAATGAAAGTCAACTTTTTCTCAAAAAAGAAAAAGGAATGATTGAAATAATAATACTAATATTTTTGCAGAAAGGATTCAGACATAAGATTTGAATTGAAATCCTTTGTATTCACAATTTGAATCAATTGGTAAATCATAAGATTTTGACAACAATGGCTAAGAATGGTTTAGGGATGATTTAGGACTAAGAGAAAGGATTAACAAAGGTCCTGGAAATTGCAGATCTTCTATGGGACATTGGAAAAGCAAAAAATTCAAAACTCAAACACAAGGATGGAATAGTGAAACTTTACGATGATTTTTAGATTGATGGGCTGTATGAGACATTTTGATTCGAAAGCGTTCTAAGTAGGTTTTCTACAAAAAGATGAAACATTCCCTTCTTGAGAGAAACCCCAGCATTCTGGAAATTAAGGCAAACAGAAAAAAAAAACATGTGAAAGTTAATAGGGCCCTAAATTTGGGTTAGAGTGTGTAGCTTTCTGAACTGAATGTCTGTAACATGTATGAATATTAAACAATTTATAATATGATCTGTTCCCTTCAGAACAGTTAGTTCCCATAATGTTGTTACCTTTTGTAATACTTTCTGATGTACTTGTGAGTTGTGATGCATTTAGGGGTTGTTTGATTACAATTGATGTGGCTGAACTAAAAAGCTAATTGCTTTGTCGTTCAGTGAATAAGTTCAAATATTTTACTATTTAATTATTATATCCACTAAAAAGCAATAAGTCATTCAGTTCAGAAATTTCAGCTATTGTCAAACAGCCCCTTGATGCTGTTTGAAACAAATTTGGCTGAACTTTGACTAGCTGACTTTTATAGTTAAATTGGTTAGGGTGTTTAATGAGTTCTATAGAAGAGGGGTGATAAGTCCAGGAATGAATTCTACTTTTTTAGCTCTGATCTCAAAAAAGAATAATGCCAACCAACCAGGGGATTTCAGACCAATAAGTTTGGTCACCAGTATTTACAAGGTGATTGATTGCAAAGGTGCTGTCTTTGAGGATTAAAAAGGTGATCTCCCATTTAGTTTCTCAAGCTCAAGGGGCCTTTGTGCAGGATAGACAGATTATTGACCAAATATTAATTGCAAACGATTGTGTGGAGGCTCATAAAAGATCAAAGAGGAAGGAGTGGCTATCAAGTTGGAATAAATGGATTGGAAATTCATGGGAATGGTCAGTGGTGACCCCCTCTCTCCTTTTCTTTTTACCCTGATTGCTGAAGCATTAAGTAAATTGATTTCAAGAGCAAATGGGGTGCAGTTATTCAGGGAATGGTCAGTGGGGAGGGACAATGTTTTAGTAACTCATTTACAATTTGTAGATGATATTCTTATTTTCTGTGATGGAGGAAGTAGGGAGGGAGTGGAAAATTTTAGGGTGGTTGTGAATCTCCTTGAGAAGATGTCTAATTTGAGGATTAGTTGGTCAAAGAGCTTAATGGTTGGAGTCAACATTGAAGAAGATGAAGTGAGATTTCTGGCAAGTTCTCTAGGTTGTGAGAAAGGTGAGTGGCCAATGAAATACTTGGGTTTACCCCTTGGAGATAATCCTAGATCTGCTAGTTTTGGTCTCCGGTGGTGGAAAGGATAGAGATACGATTGGCGGCATGGAAAAGAAATTATATTTCATTGGGGAGGAGAACAACCCTAATTAAATCCACTTTTGCAAATCTCCCAGTGTACTATATGTCAGTGTTTAGGATGCCACAAAGGATAGTAAGGAAAGTTGAAAAAATCATAAGGGATTTTCTATGGGAGCCAGGGGAAAAAAAATAAGGATCATTTGGTTAGATGGGAGAAGGTGAGTAAATTGAAAGAGGAAGGGGGTTTGGGAATTGGTAGTGTTAGAATTAAGAATCAGGCTTTGCTGGGCAAATGGCTCTAGAGGTTTCCAAATGAAAATGAGAAATTATGGCACAAAGTGGTTGCAAGCATTCATAGCATGTCGTGCAACGGATGGGATGCTGGTTGTCTACGTAGGGCTAACTTGGTTGCTCCTTGGAAGGCCATTCATGATGTCCTTCCTATATTCCTTAATCTTATCAGGTATGATTTGTATTCTAGTAGTAAAATCAAATTCTGGGAGGATTTGTGGATTGGGGATACTCCTTTAGGGGAGAAATTTCCTTCTCTTTGTGATTTGTCTAGGTTCAAGGGAAAGCCTATTTCTGATTTGCTAAACCATCATTCTCACTTTCCAGGATTGAATTGGAACCTTGGTTTTAATAGGAAATTAGGAATCTTAAAGAGTCCGAACTGCTTGCAGTCTATGAGTTGCTAGGTTTGCTGAATTCAGTTTTCTTGGGGGAAGGTGGGTCAGATTCTAGAATTTGGGGTCCTAATTCTGATGGATCTTTTTCTTGTAAATCCTTTGCTCATTCGATGGTTGCCACACAGTCTTCTCTTCAATTTCCAGTCAAAGAAATTTGGTGCCATCCTATTCCCCCTAAAACCAGTGCTTTTTGTTGGGAAGTCTTTCATGGTTGTATTAATACCTTTGATGTACTTCAAAGGAGAAGGCCAAATGGGTGCTTGTCCCCTAACTGGTGTGTCCTGTGTAAGTTGAATGGTGAGACTGCTATCCACCTTTTATTATCATGCCCCTTTGTCAGCTTTATTTGGAATTGGTTTACTTCCCTTTTTGGGTGCAGGTAGTCTTCTCCTGATTGGTTGGAAGGTTTATTCAACCCTAATGGTTGCAGTGGTAAGACAAGGAGGGGAAGGATTCTTTGGAGGTGCACTAGAGCAGCAATACTTTGGACCATTTGGGAGGAAAGAAATGATAGAATATTTGAAAGTAAGGAAAAATGCAAGGAAGCTCTTGTGGAAACAATAACATTGAGGGTGGCACATTGAGTAAAAAGTTTAAAGCAGTTCTCAGATTTTAAAGTTGAAGACTTCTTCAGGGTTTGCTGCTTCATCAACTATGAGGCGACAGGTTTGTGAAACCTGGCCCCCTCCAACAGAGGGTTGGATGAAGCTGAATTTCGATGGGGGTTGTGTGGGTAACCCAGGCCCTTCAAGTATTGGGGGGGCTATTAGAAATGAAAATGGCTCCATTATTGCTTTGTTCTCCGGTCCTATGGAGGAGGGTGATGTAGCTAGGGCAGAGTTTCTAGCTGCAGTATATGGGGTTGAGAAGGCCAAAGAGCTGGGGATTAATAGACTGATCATCGAGGGAGACTCAAAAACTGTGACAAAATGGTTGCAAAAAGGGGAAGGAGTGACCTGGCAACTGAAGAATGATTTCAGAAGGTTCAAATGGATGTCGAGAAATATGTCTATTCAGGTGGGTTGGGTTAGGAGATCGACCAACAGCTTGGCTGATAGCTTAGCAAAACAAGGGGTTCAAAGAACAGATATGTTTTGGGCACATTTGTAATTCTGTCTTGGGTCAGCTTCTATGCTGATTTCTTTGTAACTTGTTGTATATTAAAGCATCTTAATTAATGAAAATTTTCAGAGTTATTGATCAAAAATAGAAAAAGTTAAATTGTATTATCCCTTTTTCTTGATCAGCAATGGAAAGGAGAATGGATTATTTGTTTCTATACGCCATTTTTAGTTTGTTCAAATAATATTTCTGCTTAATGTAGAATTAATTTATACCGGTCTTTTCCATGTTTTAATGTCCAATGATGGTTTTCCTTGTGACATGACATTGAAAGTTGCAAAAACATCATGTAAATCAAAATGTTGATCTTGTATATTTTCAGGCAAAAGAGACATGCATTGGGGATGTATACTTGGCTTCTGATGTTGCTTTTCATGATAGAAGGATACCTATACCTGTAAGTACTCATGTCTTAATATATCTTTAATCCCCTGTATTTTTCTTTTTTCTTTTATTTGTTTTGCCAAGAATGATTGTCCTTGAGCCACTTACAATTATCAAAATACCCCTAAATATTTTTTCTGCCATTTTATGTCAAAGTGGGTTGTGCATTGGAAAAGCTTTGAAATAATAATTCTAATTTTGCAATAGGGCGTGCACATCTGTTTACATTTTTCACTTCACCTGTTTTATTTATTTATCTTTGAATTATTGTTTGCCTTGTCATCTCGGGGAATAGTGGATTAAGGTTACAGGATGACAGTGGTTGAGATGCTTTTAGTTATTTGTTAGTTCAAAAGTTGAGTCTACAAGGCTATGCAAACATTGAATAACCAGTTTTAGTTGGAAGTTGAAAAATAGTGCCACTGTTATAGTAAAGTCAGAGTGATCAATGTGTTGACTCGTTAACAACTACTCAGATAAGGGCCTATTGACTGCATCAGTAACTAGTAGGTCAACATCCGTGATGTACTCAGCCAGTTGCCTAGGACAATCCTGTATCTATTTTATTTATCTCTACCTTTTAAAATAGTATATAATTCCTTTCTATTGTTATGCATACCCATTGCTTTATAGCATCTCTTATTGAACGTGGTTTGATGAGGACATATAAAATAGATACAAGACCTAAAATGAAAGAGAAATGGCAATAGCAGTTCCTTTAGATTTTCTTTGAATCAGTGTGCTGGTACAGARTTGCCTTTAACAGGGGGATTACATCAGGTAGTCAAGATTGCATATATATTCTCTCTCTGAAAGAGAAGTACCATTGCTTCTTATATGTGCCTATTAAACCTTTCCTTTTATGTTTTCAAAATGGAGATTATGTATTAAATGTCCTATATCTTTTATTGCATAATTTCAGTCATTATGGTTGATCAGATTTTCACTTAGGTAGGCTGAAAATGACTAGGTGCTGCCTCACCATGTTGACAAAACTGCTTGAAGTGTATTAGATTTATAGGAGCTATGGAATTTTAACACTCCTCTTTCTTTCCTTCTTTCTTTTCCCTCTTTTTCTGATCAGTAACAGATCAAAGAGTTTTATTAATTAGCTGAAAGAATATAATATGTACAAGTAAGGGTGCTCACGGTTCAGTTAACCAGTTGATCGGTTCAGTTTTTTACCAGTTTGGTTCTTTGGTTTTCCGGTTTTTTATATTTATACCATATTTTATAAGTAAAAATATAAGTATAATATATATTCAATAAAATGCATATATATAAATGTATATTGGTCAGTTTGGTTTGGTTTGGTTTCAGTTTTTGTTGAGCATCCCTGTGTACATGCTATGCACCCCAAGTTTGGTCTGATCATAACCAACCTACCCTCTATAAGTGTCTTTCCATTTTTCTCTTTTTTCATCATATGGTACTCAGTACACCCCAAAACAAGTTTGTGTCTACCCCTGTTTTGCCATTGCATATCAAATCACTATTGGAGTTTCCTATAGGCTTTGAAAGTCAAACTTGTAATTTTATATAAAACCCATGTACATATTTTGGCAACAATTATGTTAGTCCATATTATTGAATTAAGAAGTAAAAAATAATATAACAATAATGGTAGATGATGTTCCAATGGATATAAAAAGGCCATTACCCAACGTTTGTCCAGCTATCTGTGGTTTGGGAGTAGACCGAGTGTGGTGTCCTAACCTTTGGCATTTTTTCACAAAAACTGGCGATCCTCAAACTTGAATCCACATTCTCACGCCTGCCAACCCTATATTTTACCATTACACCACCTAATGGCCTCTCTAATGTTCCAATAGATGTAGTACATCTTTTTTTATCAATAACACAGTTCATTAATTATCACAATTAGAATTACAAAGAGGAAGGTGAATATATAATACACCTTCATTAATCTATTTCTTATATTTCCTTTTAATGCAATATTAATATTAATATTGCACAAATAATATATATTCATATTTATATATATCAAGTTTATGTAATAATATATCATGCTTATATGATTGAGGGTTCCTCTCTCTACATTTTGGTTCGACATATTGTATTCCTAAAAAGAAATGTATTCATGTTGACTAAAATGATCAACTTTGACAGAAATTACACAACATTTAATATATTCAGTTCATTTTCATATCACTACAACCATTTGTTAAGGTTTTATTCATCAACTTGTAAGGTCTTAGCGTTTTCCCATCCTACTCTCCTTGGAGGTGCAAATCCTACCTAAACAATTTGGATCAGCAGTACTCAGGGAATGAAAATGGAATTGGGACTCCAGAATGAGGAGTTACTTTTGATTGCAATATAGCAAATAGTTGAGGAATAATATGATATTCTAGATTATCATGAATTTTGAATGATTGAGAGATTGAAGACGTGGCCCCTGATACTAGGATATAGATGGTTTGTCCCTTAGACATGTTTATAGTGTGCTTCTTTAAGCAACTCTGCAACACCATTAGTATGAATTTTGTGCATATTCAAATTTGGTGCCCCTCAATAATTAGTCATCTCTTGCTGAATTTCAATTTCATGGCCCACATTGGGCACATTTCCAGGGCATATATRGATCTAGTTGATTATTTCCATTATTTGGTGGTGGGTATATTTATATTTGGCATTTGAAGAACTTGAGCATGAAAAATGAGGCATTAGGAGTGTCTTCCCTTTTACTACTGTTTGAGTCAAGTGGAGTGATACAATGCACCAATTCCATTACCATATGCTTGGTTTTTTTTTCTCTTTTCTGTTTAAGCAACTCTGCAACGCCTATTATACATGATTTCTTTTTATATCAATGTGGACTCTAGTACAGAATTATTACCTTGTGATTTCATAGAAAGGAGATAATATCTTTTGGTAATTTTGAAATGCCTAAACTTTGTTTGCTTTTCTGCTCACTCTTTGTTTATCTGCTTTTCTTTCTGCAGGTTTTTGATCAATATGGAATTGGTGCACGGAAGACCTTCTCAACTCCAAATCTTTTGAAGGAACTTAACTTGAAGGTATTATACAATGCCCACGATGTCCTCAGGATAGATATTCTATCTTATTCTTGAAATCTTTCAGCTCATCTCTATTTTAATATTTTCATGCCTGTTTTGTTTTATTATCTTTCTTTTCTTAATTTCTGTATGATCCCTCAATTCATCAATAATCTCTTGTCATTTGTTACTTTGAAGAAAAGTAGTAGGAATACATTATAGTAATTTCTGTGACTTTGCATCCTTTCTGAATGTTTTGGCCACATTTACATTTTAATGTAAACAATTTTACTTCACTCTAATCGGACCTAAACTTCTGCACAATTAACCATAGGATATGCTCCCTGGGGCATCCACTTGGTCAAGTTATTGTTAAGACTTTGCTAAAAATAAAAGCTGTATTAGTATGCCCTAATTTTATTAGAACTACAAACAAGAGTAAATAAGAACTGTTGTTTTTGTTGGAGTTGTTTATGGGTATGGTTGTGGCTAGGATCTAGGTGTGATTTAGTGTGTTTATTGTTTCACTTTTGTGAATACCAATACTTGAAACATAGGATATGCTTATTGTTTCTCATTTTTATGATTGAACTATATGATTCACAATTTGAATTGTGAATCCCAAGGTTTTCGATTCAAATTTTATGCCTGAATACTTTTCTGCAAAAACCTTACAATTACTGTTTGAATCCTATGATTTGATTTGTGAATATTATGGTTTATATGATTCATGCAATTTGGGTCAATTGAATTGAGACTTAGTTCTCTACTTTTGTCATTTCTTTACTTAAGCTTTATTTTTCAAGGGGGTCTTGTTTCAAAACCTTTACTAGAATATGATTGTTTAGATTATTTGTGATCTATTTAGAAACTTTAGCATGTTTATTATCCATCACATGTGGTGGGTTAAAGAGCTATTGTATGTGGTGTGGGTTAATCAACTTTCATGTCAAACTTGATAGTATCATCGTACACTAATATTGCATAAGTARTAAACTATTGTATCATATTAACTATTAAGTATGCATATGGTAGACATGGATTAAAATGGAGTTAAATCACTTTTCTATATGTTTTTAGTAAATGTATTTTTAATTTTTTAGTTTATTAACAACTTTTTAATCAATAAGTTTGTTAACAAATTTACAGAAAAGGAAATAATGTTATATTTTTTTATTCAGTTTGATTCTATATCTTCTTTGATTTACAATAAATTATGATTTTAAAAACATTGATATATTGTTAAAGATAATTTATAAAAAAAATAAATATCATTACTATTTAGCTATTTGTAAAGTTATATAACTAAAAACACCGTAGTTATTTTACTTTCACTTGGACTCATTAGCCTTATCCAAGTGATTTCATTTATATTTGGAGTCCTCAAACATTGTACTGCAGCACCAAAAGTTGGGACAAGGCTTCAATGATGATGATGAAACTTTGGGACAAGGCTTAAAGAGGGCTAGTGGCAGAGCGAAATCGTGAAACAGGATTCATGTAGCTGACTCCATATAGTTGGGACAAGGCTTAAATGATGCTGATGAAACTTTGCACTGCATAGAGATAACAGGAGATGGTGGATATAATTAATCAATATCCCATTCAGATTATTTGCATACTTATGGTGGACCTTTCAAGCTTAATTTGAAACCATAAATCATGGTACAGTTTGAACCTGTGTGAACCAACTTGCAAATTAATTCACAAAGAACAAGTTTGAATATGAATTAGTTCATAATAAACTAGTTCGTAAATCAAAAGATCAACTAACAGTAGCTAACCATGGGTTAGACTTCAACAGACCAAGATTGTCCTGGACTTCTCTCAATTTAGTCATGATATTTTTCTTTGATTAATGGTATGGATGTTTTAGAGTGGGCCTTGGTGCAACAGTTGGGTTGCTCCATTGCGATCTGGATGACCAAGGTTCAAATCTTGGAAACAGCCTCTCTGTATGTGCAGGGTAAGGCTGCATACATCTGTCCCTCCCCAGACCCTGCATTGGCAGGAGCCTTATGCACTGGGCCGCCCTTTTTTTAGTGGTGTGGATGTTTCTTTTCCTTGGAAATGAATTGGATTCCTTACATTCCCTGTGGGGTTGTCTTCATGTGGACTGTCTATTTGCACAGAATCCTTTCTATTTCAGTCCTGATTAAAGTAGAAGGGGAAATTAGGACTTGATGGAAGTTAGTCAAGTTACTTATCAAAAAAAATAAAAAAAAAAAAGACTGGTATGGCACGGCCAATATATTTGGTATCAAGCAGAACATATGAATGTTAACAGTATGAACCTAGAGTGAGGATGACTTCAATGAAGGCTAGGGTTTTCATATTTTGTGATTAATTCTGCAGGCATTATGTAACTTAGCTTTCAATTGCCTTTTCCTATGCGAAACAATTCAATATGTATGAGAGATACATGTTTAGTTGATTCTATACCGGTTCTTTTTTATGCCCCATCTTTATTTTATGTTATTCCTTTTGTTAGTAAAGTTCTCATTTTATGTTCTTATATGCTACTTTAGGGCAGTGAATTTGCCTATTTAAAGAGTATTCATTTCTGTTATTTCTTTTTTTCTCTTTACTTTCTGCTAGCAATCAAAGAGTATTCATTAAATTGTGCATGTATATGATGTAGATAAGAAGGGTTGAACAACCCTGAACAAAGACATTTTTAGTATTAAGCTATTTTTTGCAACTAGGAATGGTTGGTTGTTAAGGTGCAAATTAAGGTTGGGTAACAGGGGAACATCTTGTTGGCTAGGCATTGCCTAAGAGATGATTATTGTATGGCAAATATGGGTATTTTTAATTTGTTTCCCATTTTATGAATTAGCTTGTTTCATAACCTACAAAACTTTAAAGTTGATCTAAATGGAATAATTAAACATTAAAAGTAGAAGTAAAACAAATTATTTACATAATACTATAAATAAACTGGCAGATGGAGCCGTATCTTTTTATCTTTGGTACTTGATAATGTTTTTGGAAACAGCCTCTCTGTGTGTGCAGTAAGGCTGCATACATCTGTCCCTCCCCAGACCCTTTTTTTACTTGATAATGTTTTACAGGACAAACATCATTCACTGAGTACATTAGCCATTAGTTTATGTTAACTAAGCAAGGGGCTCCGGAATCCATGGAGTGTTAGAAACTTAGAATCATTTGTATGTCCAAGGACAGATACCTCATCCAGTTAATGGGCTCCACATAACACTGCCTCAAGTCAACTCAATCTAAATAGTGGCATGCAGCATGCTTCAAGCAATCCAGTTGAGGGTCCTCATTCTTAATTGCTTGTGGGACTGAAACCAGACCAGTCAGACAATTTTGATAAAGGAGCATGCCTTTGATTATTACTTAAAAAGATAGATGTTTTAAAAGATAAGCCCCGTATAGCAATTTGAACTCTAGAAAGTAGAAACATGGGTTTCTTTTAAGATGTGCCAAATCACTCCTCTAAATCAGTTTTCCTCATCTTGGCCCATTTTTCATGAAAATTAAATTTTCTCTTAATAATTTATATGAGCTCTTACTGTGATCTATTTGAATGTTACAGATTGGCAAGTTGTCTACTGGGGACTCTCTGGACATGTCCCCACAGGATGAAGCATCAATTATTGCAAATGATGCTGCAGTTAAAGATATGGAGGTAATCTTGTTATCATGTGATCCTTTTTTTCTATAAAAATTAAGATGTGACRAAAGCAGCAACTATCTTAATTATCAAAAAAAAAAAGCAGCAACTATCTTCTCTTTGTTTATGAAGATGATAATTCCTTTTCTAATTTTTAATTTTATTTGTATTAAAATAATCTAAATATAACAGATATAAGAACACTTTCCATGTTGAGCTACAAGCTCACCCACTGTATATGCATCCAAGTCCACTCAGTCTACCCTTGAAGGGAAGCCCCCCACCAGAACTACACCTGATTTTCTTCCTGTTTTGAAAGCCAATATGCTAGACTATTGGTTGATGTTGTTGATGTTTTAACCATCTGAACAAGATGTTCTTTTCCCTAAAAAGTTCCTTGTCCATCTTCTGAAAAGATTTGCACTACAGGATAGATTTTGCATGGAAGATGCAAGTCCCCATTACGCCTCTTAATTTGTTTTTGTTGAGTTACTTCTCTCATTTTTCCTTATATATATTATGGATCTCATCCTTTTGGAACCCTCAATAGCCTTGATGACCTTTGAGCAGTTGTTGGACATTGCTCTTCTACAGTCATCCTCCTTTTGACTTCTACCATTCATTGGATACCTATTTTTGAGAGACAATCAATAGGGATGCAAATGAGGTTGACTGATTTGACAATTTCGTTGGGCTTAGGCCCATTCAGAAGTTAACAAACGCTGAACTCTACCTGACCCAAGTTGCATCCTCAGAAATCAAATACTAGTCTTTTTGGAAGATGGAAGTTCTTTATCATCGATGTTTTCTTGATATGTTAATCATGATAAATCATTTCCTCCAAAGTGAGTTTGTCAAGTGTGGGCATGTCCAGTTGGCTAATTGGAACATGGAAGTTTTTGCTCTTTCATACTCTTGGACATCTGGGCAATGCCACTGTTGCCCAAAATAGTGTCAATTTTGGCGAGGAAGAAGAAGAAAAAGAAGTAGGGGTGTTCAAATTTGGTTATCGAACAGAAAACCAAACCAAACCAGATGGAATAAGCCAGTTTGGTTCAGTTTATTCAGGTTTCAGTTTGGTTCAGTTTGAGAACAACCCAGTTCAACCAAAATGCAAATTAATCCAAATATATTTTTTAATTATAAATGTTCTAACCACTTTAAAACTGAAGTGAACTGATTTGAATTCGGTTTGGTTTTAAACCTAATTCAGTTTGATTCATGAAGATGGCCTAACTTTCGAACTGAACCGAATCAAACAGATCAAATGAGCACCCCTAAAAAGTAGAGACAGTTCCTGCAAGACTTGAGCTTTCTTACATGTGGGTACAGACTGTTCTGGTGCCTACTGTCTAGGACAAGGGAAATCATGAGGCATTATGCAATCACCACATAGAATCTTTCATTCATATGAGAGAGATCCAATTTCTCATAAAACTGGGTTTAGGGGCATAAATGCATAATTATAATTTCTGCCCGACATATTTTAGTTGGGATTTTGCTCTACTTTAAACTGGTTGATTGTGAAGAAAACATGAGAAAAGAAAGAAAAGAAATATTTTCTCTTTATAGGAGAGTGGGGCCAGTTTTGCTTCATTTCACTCCATTGTTTTTCTATTGCTTTCATTTTTTTGGAGAGAAAATAAAAGTGGTCAAAAGAAATTTCCTCTTCTCCTTTGGTTTCCATTGTCAGAAAAATTAAGGAAAATAACTTCATTTTACTGTTTTACATTTTATTTTCCTTTCTTCCACTACATAACCAAATGCAGTGTCAATGAGCTGTCTTCTGATGTCCACAAGGTTGTCATGGACTTCAAGTAATTATTGTCTCAAAAGCTTCTATTTTCTAAAAGGAGTTCAGGAAGGAAAAAGGAGTTTTGGGTGAAACCCTAATGTGTTCTCTCTTGGTTTCTTCTTCTTTTCTCTACATTTGTCTCCGTTTTTTCTACTTCAGTTAYTATTTCTATTTGCTGCAACTTTTCTCTATTTCAATCTTAGATTTCTTTTTCGAATCACCTCTCTTGATCTTTGCAACTATTTAATTAGTTTACAGAAGCTTTCTTTGTCAAGCTTGTGAGTTGTGACATCTTGGAAATTAGACCTCCTTATTTACAATGCTAATCACTAAAATATTCTCTTCTATAACAAGCTTGACTATATTCTATCTACTTGCAGGAAAATAAAAGATTGAAATGTTAAAAAGACTTTTCCCATTTATCAGGGTAGAGTCATGATGTCAATTTTACTTTGTGGTTAGCCAGCTAATGTAGCAAACTAGCAACTAGTTACTTGGTTTAGAAACGTATTCCAGTATCATGAAGTCTGATGGAACTAGAGTTTTTTATTTGGGTAACTAGACATACTTTAGCTGCGGTTAATGGTATCCAAACAGAACCCCATACTCCGTAAGAATTTATAATGTTATTACATCATGTTATGGTGGTGCCTATTCTACAACCTCCCTATTTGAATGCAAAATCATTTCATTGCGGCCATGAGCTCATATACAACCCCTCAACCTTGCATTAGAAAATGTGATAAAACCACATCGTTTTACAGTCAATTTCCGCAGTTCTGCTATAGCACCTACATCCGTGTAGTGTCAAATCTGTTAGTGGCATTTTATTAGTTAGTCAACTCTGTTGGTAGTATTATTAGGGTGGTGAAACTTAATCCTTCTTCCCTCCTCTCTCTCAGGGAGCAGCTGTGGCCTATGTGGCAGATCTTTTATCTGTACCGGTTATATTTGTGAAAGCTGTTACAGATATAGTGGATGGTGATAAACCAACTGCAGAAGAATTCTTACAGAATTTGGTGGCAGTGACTACTGCCCTTGATCAGGCAGTCACTCGAGTTTTGGATTTCATAAGCGGGAAGTGCGTTTCTGAACTTTGAGTTGTTTTATCYTTTCCTGTACATTCTGGGAGAGTTTTCTGGCTGCTAAGGTTAAATACTTTGCTTCCTCCACAAGTGGCACTGCTGATTAAAAGTTTCAACCCTCTGCTACGAGCATATGTGGTTGGTTCCACAACTTTATTGCTTTGCATATCATATTACTTTTATGTATTTTAGCTTCGAAGTTGTCAACTCACTGTTATGATAATTTCTTTTTTGGGGGGTTATTCGAACTTTCTGTGTTATATTCCCCGAGAGTGAAATTAGGTAAACAAATTATTAGTTGTGTGAATTATGATATTCTGTCAGTGCTAGCTTTGAGATGCACCTTAATTCACAGGGTAGCATCGTAATGGAAGAAAGAATTCCAGGACCAATCAAGAAAATAAACACGGTAAAAAGGAAATTTGCAACTTCAAGCCACAACCACCACCACCCCGCCCTCCTACGTGCGTTTATGGGCATCCTTCAATCCGGAAGGTATTAACTCTTTAATTTCAAAGTGCTGTTCTTGTTATTCATGGTCCAAGTGAAAATTTGTTGATTCCTAAAAATTCAGTAGGAATTAGAGAAACTGCAGGACAACCACCCGATAGAAAAATTATGTTTTAAATGTTTTTTTGGTGGCCACGGTATGCTTTACATCTACACAAGATTCCTGGAAACCCTTGTGCTGTTAATTGGGTCTTGGTTTAATCCTACAATTGCGCAGCATTTCTATTTCCTTCTTTCTCTTTTCTCCCCTTTGGTACAAGGCTATAATATTAAGGTTCATCGCTCGCTGCTTGCTGAGTTATGATCCGTTATCCTCCACTCCAAGGCTTAAACAGCGTACCAGAACTCGTTTTTGTAGTACCATCCACTCCTATGTAGTATGGAAGAATGCCCAAGTCAAATGGTTGATCCATGCAGAAACAAATAAAACAATGTCAATGTGATAACCCAGTTCCCATCTCATTCCAGTTACAATTGCTCAGCGTTGCAGAGTATCTGCAATTGAGATGAACTGTTTGTGCGAAATCCACCACCACCCTGATCATAGCCACCTGGGGGATGGTGCTGCTGCCTCCTCACCATATTGGAGGATAAGGAAGACGAGACAGGAAAGAGCTGCTGTTGCGTACTGGGAGGGAACTTGGCGCCAATCACCTCCAATGGGGGAGAGGAAGTAGACAAAACGGCGTGAGAGGAGACTTGTGAAGTGGAATCGTATATTCCGTTCTGCCATTTTGAGAGATGACATCCAGGTATCCCCGCCAGGTGAGCTGCCCACATCTGCTGCTTTGCCGGCCCAGCATGGCCTGGGTATTGCAGCCCATAGAACGGATTGCCAAGATATTGAGGTATCTGTAACTGGACCTAGGAACCCACATCAAATGTGAAATCAACTTCTCATTGGTCGAGCAATAATTTGTTAGTTAGAACACCACAAAAATAGCCAATTCGTCTCCTGGTTTTTTTTTTCCTCGATGAAGCACCCTTGGAGATCAGAAGGTTTGGCTGATTGGTGCATTACAGTGCAAAAGCTGGTCCAAACAGTGGTAAGATTGGACCGGAATGGATGATCGAATCAGTGAACAAGTTTGAAACCCAAACGCTTGAGTCTGTATCCCCTGCCAATAAAATACGTTTCAACACCCTACCAACATGATCCAACACTGCACATCTCATACACGGTGAGAATGTGCTGTGTTGAATCATTGTTGATAGAGTACTGGAACGTGATTTGTTGGCAGGAGATCCCAACTCTGTTTATGTTGGGTCCATGTGTATCAAAGTGGCCAACATGGTTGATTTTTGTTTTTACCCCCACTGTATTTTGTTAATGTATTAGTTTTTGTTTTTAAAAACATTGTTTTCGTTTTAAAAACAAAACCAACCGTGTCATGAGCACCTTTAGTTGTAAGCTTCATAACAAGACACGGAAAACATTGTTAAACATCCATATGCCCATCAACACCAATCAGGTATAGTTTTCACCTGTAACCACCAATCAGGTATGCCCACAAGAAGTTGGGACTCATTTAGCTTGAAAAAAAAAAATCCTAAACCGACAAGGTAACCCCAAATTTCTACAATTTATGCAAGAAGCAAAGGTTATAGAGACAAACCTGCTGCGCCGCTGTTGCTGCAGTAAGCTGGTCCGTATATGGAGAGCAGTTGGAATAGCGGTTCGGGGGAAATGAGAAAGGCACTAGAGGAGGTTGGACAAGAGAATGGAGGTAAGGGGGACGGAGTTGCGTGGGGGATTCCAAGCCATTTCCTATTGGATTATTATTACTAGTATTTTTGCCTTTATTTTTGTTGTTATTGCTGTTGCTTTCCAAACCACTGTAGCCGGCTGACAAGGACAGAAAATCACAATTCTGCCAAACCCCCCCCCCCAAAAAAAAAAAAAAAATCGTTGGGTTAATCACAATTCACAAGCATCAGAATAAAAGGTATGAGAAAGGCATTAGTGGGTAATGAATATGATCCTACCAGCTTCTGTGAACTGAGAATTTCAGTTGCTACAGAAGTTTGCTGCTGATCTTGCTGAAGCATCTTGTCTGGTTGAATGCCATTTAAAGCTTCATTCAGACTTTTCCCAGCAGCATAACTGTATGTGTTGCTCGAGGAAGTAGTAGCTCCACTTAAACCATTCCTGACTCCACCTGACCTCGTTTCTTCTTTTACTTTCAATTGATCAGGAAGAACAGGAAACYTGACACTTTTCTCTGCATTCTGGTATGCCCGGATGAGACGACTGATATAAACATGAGCCGCACATTTCTTCCACGATTTCCTTCTATCAACTATACCTGGCAAAGCCTTTACAACACAATGTAGCCTTAATCAGTGTTGAGAAATAAATAACGCTGCGAGTCTGTAAACGAGAAAAAAAAAAAAGTGAGCATATTCGTGTACTAAACATCCTCTTCACCTTTTCAGTTAAAACACCATTTACAGAGACATCAGGTCTGGTGAGACAAGTAGCAGCATCCAGCCAAAATGGAGCTTTGGTTGATGAGGGCCTGAAAAGAACCATCTTTGCATATGTTGGTGAAAAAGAATGGAATGATGAAGGAAACCCAGAGAGAGAGAGAGACAGACCGTTCTAAGGGACTCCGAATTCCCCCACCACACGACCCTGATGTGCACAAACCAGGCCACAAAGATAGAGCTCCTTTTTTGATATGAACATCAGATTGTGGATTATCAGCAAATTTGAGATGTCCAACTTATAAAATTGGCATAATAACAAGATAGGACCATACCTTCTTTACATGCAAGACGTTTCCCACTGTCCATGTTCTCATTGATGGGGTGATGTTGTTCAGGTTTCATCGAAACAGCTGCAGCCTGAGAAATAACCCAAGTCAACCATTTTGAATCCAAGCGTGTTCCCTGGAAGAAAATGTGAATTGTGGTTTATTAAATGTTGAGACGGAAGCATACTGGCCATAACATGCTCTCTGTTTTTCTTCCACAAGCCTGAGCTACATCCACTTTGGATTGCATTACTCTGCAGATCAAACATTAACTATTAAAAATTAACTACAAACCCCCTTGTATAAGCGCCCCACCGTCTACGACTACATAGATTTAACAAAGAAGTGAAGTACCTGGCCTCAGAGCGTAGTTCCGATGGAACATCCAAGGAAGACGCTTTGCACAAAAGCTTGATATCTATATATTCCGGATTAGACTTGTCTGTACGTTCCTGGCCTGGCGGAATTGCTTGAGCAACTAAGGAACTATCTGATCCTAGATCAAATTTCTGGCCCTCCAGAATACAGGACCCTTCTGGAATAGCAGATTGCCGTAATGGGTTGTCTCTTGCAAGGTCTCCAGGCGAACCTCCTCCATTGGAAGAAATATTGGTAACTTCAGCAGTGGTAGCACGTGGAGCATTCTCGGGCTCTTTTGTAGCTGCAGAATCATTTAAAAAACTCTTAACTTAGTAGACCAGAAAACTAGAGAGAGAAGTTAATTGAGACCTTTGGAAACTGGGATTGAACACTCCGCGGACTCTGTAGATTTCTGATGCGTGGTGCCCTTAATAGGCTTATTGTTGGGCATCAATGTAGCCAAAGCATATAAAGTCTCAACCACTTCTTCCTCATCTTTGGTAATTGGTCCCGCCTGACTTGGGGATTGCTCTGAATCCCCAACTTGCTTCTGGAAAAACGACTTAAACCACTCAGAACCCACATGCGAGAAAGAAAAAGAGATTGCCTAGGAGAAGAAGAAAATAAAGATTGACTAACCAAGTTCTGCTTATATTTCTTTGAACGCGATTCGATTCCATTGGGCATGGAATGTGGCTTCTTTGCATCTGGCTTTGGTGGCGATATTGATTCCCGGTTTCGCTTCTGCTGCATAGCTGCAGCAAATCCAAATACAGTTATCCATAAATTTTTATAAATAATAAATAATTGAAAAAAAAGGTATACCGGATATTCCGATACTTTGCCACCTCCAAAATCCTTTAAAAAAAAGTGAAAAAGACAAAAAAATACAGTTTACGACTCTTTAGGTTCTTTTAAAAGCAAAACGAAGAGAGCACGAACAATTCTCATAAAATCTGACTAAAAAGCACGTATCTGAAATTCAGCGATGTCAGGTCACTTTTAGGCAAAATATATTATTCGTGTTAGGAAAATCGGCTTAAGCAAAATAAAAAAAAAAAAAAGAAAGAAAAACTGAGGTTATTATTATTATTATAATTTATTATTATAATAATAACTATTATTATTATTATTCCGTTTCTAGTTCACAATTGCACACCTGACCGTAGTTTACGCGGAACAGCGGCAGGATCGACCGCATTGCAATCATCGAATGGCTGAAAAGAATGAACTGAATAGGATTAGAAACCATAAGTTTCGTATTTGTCTGCGACTATCAGCATCTGATGCTCGTGTACAGCCCTGAAACCCACCTTTCTATGGAGCCTCAGTTTCTTACAGCCACCAGCACTCGACGCCGGCGGTGGCGCCCGGCAATGCTCTTCTTCTCCTTCAGACCCACCACCCATTTCGCTGTCTTCGTTGCTCGAACTCGCTTTACCCACCACACTTAAAACTTTCTCCTTCTTTGGTCTCTCCAATAAATCCACATTATCATCACCACCACTATTCAGAGCTGCAGATAAACTAGTGAAAGATTAATAAAAGAGAAATCCACAACTTACCCAAAATTGAGAGAGAGAGAGAGAGAAATCCACAAAAATACAACCAAGTAATAAAAGTAGGAAGGAATAAACGAGGTGGACGTATTATCCGTTATCTATGACAGAGCCCACGACAAACTGATAACAAACAAATAAAGACAAACAGCGAAAGTTTGTCTTTTCTTTTCCTCAGAGGTTAATTCGTTCGGAAATGAGGGAGAATTAGGTAATAATACTTCATTTACCGGAGGCTAGCCTGCGTCCAGATTGCTTGTTCGGTCGCCTCGTGGGTGAGAACCGACTAGTTCCACGCTTCACCTCTCGAACTTTGTCCATTTCTGGGCCACTGTCATCGACGGATAAAACTTTCCACGGCTCCAATGGATTGAACCCAACTCAGTAAGATGGATAAATAAACATCCGAAAGGGACCTCCCGATCTTTCTTCTCGAGCACCTTCAATGAGAGAAAAAGGAGAAGGAATAATCAGAGTTGCGAAAAAAAATCTCTGTTTTGATTCTTTCTCTATATCAGTACCCATGGGGAATAGACACGAAACAGAGTGCACGCGAAGAACTTAACAACAACGAAATGTAAGCGAGTTGAAAGGCGAGATTATCGGTTAGAGTAAATAAAAGAAGAAACAATCGCGCGGAGATGTGTTTGGTTTTGTACCGGAAAAACCGCCGGAAAGAAAACTGAAAGGGGGAAGGTGAGGATTCTGGGTGTTACAACGAAAAGAAACTCGATTCGTTGCCAGATATCTCTGCTTCTCTGTCTCCCTACTTCTTTTACCCCCTCTGTAGCTTGTCTGAGACTACAGAAGCTCAAATTAACGGTTAATGAGAAAAACTAGAAAAAATAAAAATAAAAAAACGTAAAGTGAATACCCGAAAAGTCACAAAAGATGACAGGAAAAGAAAAAGGCAAATTCATCCCTTGCGTTTAGAAGAATCGGGTTCTTCACGAACTAAAGCACCAAAAGATAAAGATGGACGAAAATGGCACAGATAAAAATCTCACGAGAAAAAAGAAGTGGGGAAAAGGAAAAGCTTAGAAAAAGCTCGAAACACCCGTGAGAAATCCTTCAGGAATGGACCGGATCTCGTCGAATAAATAGCACCCATTAATCCACAAATGTCCAAGAACAGTAGCCACATCTCCGAAACCTTTGAATCTCCACGCTTAAACATACCAAGTTTTTCGCAGAGAACAAGAGATCCATCTTTTATATCTTTTTTCTTACTTCAGATCTTCTACACGAGTCCATCGAGAAAATATTTCAAAAACAAACCTCATTCAACTCATCGCTCAAAACCCACCAACTTGAATTCAAGCTTTCTCTGAACCATAATCAGCAAACAGGAAAAGAGAAAGATAGCGAAAAAACAGAAAAGAAGATGGAACAACCTTTAAACCGAGGACCATTAACAAAAAAAACGAGATGATTAGCATCCAGAGACAGAGACAGGTCTTTCAAGCTCAAGAAGGCAAAGCCGAAGCTTTCGCACAAACAAAATGGCGTTTCAATGCCTTACACGACGGCCTCTCTTTCTTTCTCCTCCTCCTGACTCCCGAGTCCTGAACTCCCCTTTCACAGATATACAATTTCTCTACACCCCCACCCCTTTAGGCTCTAGCTCTAAGGCCTTCCCGTGCGTCATTCGATGATCGACGGCTTAAATGAACCGCTTCACATGAGTCATTGGATCTTCACCGAAACCTCCGACAATCATAACGCACGTGTCGGCCACGTCGGAATAGTCATATTTTTTAATTCTCCAAGCTGCCAGCGTGTAAGGATCCCACGTGTCGGCCCATGCAATTTTGCTCCGCTGGACGGCTCTGATACGCTCCTCTTAAATCTCTGCGACACGAGAAGAGAGAGAGAGAGAGGGGAGGGATATGATGATTCGATTCTCAGTCTGCACCTCGGCGTGGCAGAGAGAGAGAGAGTCATGTGTGCAGCGTGACTTTCTTTGGTTGTTGTCCCTTTTCAAGTAGATACCGGGAAATTACGGGAAACGCTATTATTCAAAGGAAAAGACGAAGACGTCCTCGAATTGAATGAATTCCATTTCCATAATTCAATGTGGGTACAGACAACATGACTTATTTAAAACAGTATTTGTGTTGGTATTTGGCGTTTCGACTTCGGTACTTTCGGTACTTTGGCGTGCCCACACACACACTGCCCCCGCTGCCCGCTGCCGAATAGATTTCTCATTTCTCCGGTGAGAATGAGACTGAGATGAGATGAGATAAGATCGTTCATCGGCGGCATATAGGGTATAGCACAACAAAAAGTCAAGTTGGCCGATTCTTCCTATCTTATTTTTCCAATCAATCACTTCCATTTTGGAATTTGGATGGCTTGTATTATTAAATTATTTGGAAAAATGTTTGATCCACGATCCACTTAAAAGTGGGCCCTCTGTTGGGGTTTGGGCCCAAACACATCTCTCAATGGTTGGTGGGTTTGGGTTTGGGCCCAAACACAGATAATGCCTTTTGCTGAAAGCTTTGCTCAGTTCTCGTCAATGGCCATGTGTCGCATGCATAGAGGATCTGGACCCACCATTAACTCTGGGTATCTTGAAATCTAAGAATTCAAAAACAACAGACAAGGTTAGGTCATCTAAAGTTCAACTTAATGCTGAAATTCTACTAGTAGCTTAACCATGGTTGGTTGGTTATAGAGTAAAGCTTTGTAAGCAAAGGTCTCTAATTAGTCATTTGGCTGTGCTTGACTTCTTATCTAACCATTGCTCTAACCAAGTTATTCAATTTCAGTACCTTCTAAAAGTTCTACATGAAGGAGCTTGCTTGCTGCTAAATTAAGATATTCCCGATATACGGCTGGATTGTTGTGCTAAAGAGTGTGTTAGCATGTTTTTGCTGGCAGCTCTATTCCTACTCCTTGTTGTTGTTAGGATAAAACTGTCCTCATTATAATAATACATTTTATTTAATTAGTCATGAGCGCTTATATAACTTTCCATCATATAGCTATGGACCCTATGGTCATATCTCACCCATATTTTGTTGCAAAAATAACAAATAAGGGTACTTCTAAATTTTCACTTACAACAAGAGAAGATAGAACAAATGCTATTCAGAGAAAGCTTGTGCCCATGAGGTCCTCTTTATATTCAACCTCCACTTACCAACATATTCTTCCCACATCCTTACCCACAAGACACTATTTGGAATATCTCCTCATGAATGACAAAGAAGATATTCCTAATACACGTCTGTAATGTCCTGTGGGCAGAGATGTGAGAAGAGTTCGTGGGTAGTAGATCCGGGTTCATTCTCAAGAATTTAATCGCTTAAATAATAATGCACCTAAGGTGGATTACATTCTTTATTTAAATTTCAATTGTTCTAAATTAACCCACAAAAAAGAAGCAGATATGAATTAAAAAAAAAAAAAACCTTGCAAAAGGCACACAAGACAAAACAGGTCCCACTTTGTTCATAGTTCTAAGGTATCAAACAAGCATATGCAACTCTTGGAAGCTTCACCAAACAGGGTAGGACCCATTAATGACACCATATTACAAAGTTGGACATGTCTCGTTCATGAGTCCCTTTGTACATATAGAGCAAAGAAATCCAAGAGTTGTATGTAACTATTTGTTTGATATCGTTTCCTTTCTTTCAAGAGTTGCATACATAAACATACACTAGTTGTTTGCTGGTATTTACTCTCAATTAATAGAGAGAAGAAAAAAAGTTTAAGTAGTTAGCCCAATAGGTCATTTAAACTGTCATAAAGAAAAGTAGAAATCTGTTAGAGAGATGTGGAACGGAAGAAGCTTGTGAGGGAAAACAATTTGAGACTGTTGATCAAAATGCGCAAAGACAAACACACTTGGTCTGAAGTGTTTTCTAAGTGAAATAACTATGATTTTAATGTATGAATTTTCAATAAAAAACAAAACAAGAAGAATGCTAGTCATTTTCCTAAGTTGAATTAGTGATCTACTCTATTGTGTAAAAGCAAGAATGTCATTATTGCTTTTTTATTTTGTGTGTGAGTGTGTGTATTTGTTATACATTAGTAAGATGTACATAAAGGCCCACTTACCATACCATAGAGAGCTTGTATTTCTAAAAGTGATTTTTTTTAACTTTCTTTTATGGGTTTTAGAAGTGATCATCTTTACTACTGGATATCATTGGTTGCAAACATGGTCGATTTTAGACTTATTAGTAGAGGTGACTACCGGTAGGGCCAAAGTATGGACTGAGCTTATCAATTCAAACCACCCATCCAATAGAATGTTTCAAATTTGCACTGGTGTAAATATGCATGAGTGCAACTGGTTAACTTTTGTTTTTGTTTCAGGTTAGACTGTATTATTCTATTTGTTTACCAAGGAGTAAGATGGAAAGTAAACTGATATGGCTCATACTTTATATGAAAGAGAATGAAGACGGATAAAACAGGTTTTTAATATTTCTTTATTTCTTTTGGTGTGAGGGGGGAGGAATAAAATAGGAAGTAAAACGATGCAATACCCCTTTATATGAGAGGGAAGGTGATACAAATTATACAAATATATGCCAATTATTATTACAAAATTTGCACAAGTAGGGTACTAATTACTATTACAAACAAATATATGCAAATTTGAATTTGGTCCAGATTTGCACTGCATCAAATAGGCTAAAGTGTCTATGACTGTCTTTTAGTTCTTTGTGAGTAAAAGGGAAAGTAAAATGATGTGACCATCACATTATATGAGAAAGAAGTAAGGTATGAAAAAAGGTAATGCAACTTCTGAATCAGCTTTTGATATGCAAAATTTGCACCTACTCATGTAAATGAGACAAAAGTGTGAATATTGAACCATGTAGGAGTGTAAATCATCTATATCCATATTTATATCCTTATTACTATTAAAAGTGTGAATGAGAGTGTGAAACTTTTATTTAACTAAAATATCTCAGTTTTTTATTTTGGTCTTTGCCTAATTGTAAAGATAAAAATATAAGTTGAACAACTATATTTCTCCTTATTCAAATCCCACTCATTAAGTCTTGTATTTAAGGTATTAACTCTCATTAACATTTATTAAATCCTATTTTTGACTAAAATATCCCTATTTTAAATTTGATATATATGTAATTGTGAGATCACAAAATGTAATTTGAACTATTATATTTCTCCTCATTCAATTCTCTCTCATTAAGTCTTATATTTAGGGTATTAACTACTATTCTTTGATTGAATCTTATATTAATTAACCATATTAAAGAAAAATAAGTGTGACAAAATTATTATTTTTATCGATGATAGAAATAAAATACAAATTTAAAAATAATCCAAAATGAAGTTGTTTTCATGTTTGGTGGTAAGCCAACAATTCAACCATTGGGTTAAAATGTGTCAACCCTTATCATAGTTAAGGGCAAATTTCTTAAACTATCCCTACTGTTTAGCTAATTGACAAAATGTATCTTGACTATTTAAGTATTATCTTAAACTACTTTTATTGTTTCTAACAATTGACTAACTATACCCCTATTGTTAGCATCCATTAATGTTCGTCAAAATCTATACACATGACATCAGGTAGCATAAATTTTTTAAAAACCAAACATTATTCTTCATCACCCTTCTAAAAGCCGGCTTCAGATCTGTTTTTCTGACATTTAGAGTAGTGAGATCTAAGCCGGAATGGAATTCCTTTGGAATGAGCCACATCACAGATGCGCAGGCTGGTAGATGCATTTTGGGATTTCTGGCATGGCAGCAACTAGCCAGCGGGACGGATATGGGATTTCCAACAATGGCAGCAGTTGGGCCCTCACAATAAGTGTTCAAGCTCCACCATGCAGGGAGAGGATCTGGCAACGTTTAGCGAGGGGGAGCTGGATCTGGCAGCGTTGAACTCGGATCACCACCATCATCTAAGGACCTAAACCTGACATTCTAACCGACACCTGCGAGAGAGAGAGAGATGATGCTCTGTTTCTCTGGTTAAGCGGGCCTTCCAAAGGTTGCAGCGGCGTCTCGAGGACCTGACATTATAAATGGCACCGACGAGAGAGAGAGACACCAGTAGAAACACACGAAAACAAGAAATCACATCTCCTAATGTTCCTCTATTTTGTTGCAGAGGTGATCTTCACTCTTTCGTATCATTTGAAAACCAAAACCCTTGAAGGAAAGGAATTGGGGACCCGCCACGGAGATCTATCAGGGYCCTTAGTCTCCTTTGCCTTGATTTTTCTTGCTGCTCTTATGTTCTGCTTCTCTCACCGCTCCGTTTTGCCCAGGCCCAAATCTACTTTCAAATCTCAGGAAGAGTGTGAAATCGAGAGCCGAGAGATCTGGGGTTTCAACATTGAGCTTGTAGAGACAGATTTCTTAAGGCTCGAGTTGCTTGGTTTCCTACTTTTGTGATCGGGAAATGTTTGCTTCGATAGATGTTGAGTGTGGTCAAGAAACCGCCCTACTTTTGATCAAGAGAGAGAGATGTGATTTTCAAAAGGTTAATTTGACTCAGTTATACTGGACGGGATGGACTGCCAGATCCAAATCCGCCGTGGTGAAGATACAAGAAAAGGGATAGAGAGGGAGAATGTGGGGAGAGGAAAAATGGGATAAGAGAAGAAGAGATAGAAGAAAAGACAAACCAAAACGGGGGGAGCCATTGCTGAGTTTAAATCTGCCACTACAGTTGCAGTGGCGTGATAAAGCAGGGGAAAGGAACGCGGGAGAACGAAGGGGAAGAAGGGGAGAGAGTGTGAGAGAGAGAGAGGCAAAAGGGACATTTCATTATGATTTAATAGTGATGACAATTGTTAAAAACAATAGAGATGGTTTAAGATAATAGTTAAATAGTCAGGGTATAGTTTGTCAATTAACTAAATAGTAGGGATAATTTAAAAGTTTATCCTATGGTTAAATAATAAGCCTTTTTATAATCTATTCTACCTCAGAATTCATAAATTAATTCCTCAAATTTATTTATCTCCAACCCCCTATAAACACCATTCTCTCTCATGAATTGGGAATCTTACGCCAATTTTGAGGTGGACTGAACTTAAATTATCTCTAAATAATAATGAAAATTGAAAAAATAAAAAATACAAAAGTATTAAAAAATTATAAAAAAACATTTGCACACTTCTCTAATATCATATATTCATTATATTAATAAAAATTAAATGTATCAAATAAAAATATTTTTTATAGATATGAAAATATAAAAAAAATTCAAAAAATATATTATTTACTATCGTTATTTTCATTAAAAAATTCTAAGCACAAACCACATACACTTATTTAACTGAATGCAAAATTTACATTAGATTCAGATTAACACTACAACAAGCAAATAAGCATATCCCATTTTTTATAAAGGGAGAACATTATCAAAATGTTTTTTTTTTTTTCTTTTCCAGTTGTTTCTTGAAGCAAGTACTCTTTACCCCCAAAAAATCACCTCTGTTAAAAAACGAAAGTACCTACCCTTCTATTTTGAGTTTCGACTTGTATGATATTATTTCTTTGTTCACGGTACCCAATGACGATCTCCTTTGTCTGTTCAAAGGATGCCTAATGGGATGTGTCCTAATTATTTCAAATTAAAATATTAATTAGTTTTTGATTGGACAATAGTACAACATTGTCCTGATTACTAAAGACCTGGAATAGCATTTGAACAAGATATAAATGTCTTAGAGTGTCATCTAATTTTCTTTATCAATCATCTAAACATTGATAAAAAAGTTAGGATCATCAGAATGCCCATTCAACATGACCCCAACTTTTTTGGTCGGAAAAGGCAAGAATTTAGATCTGATAATTTTCTGTCAACATTTAGCTGATTAATAAAGAAAATTAAATAACACTTAAAAGGCATTTATGTCTTTTTCCATAATCGGGAATTTTTCCCATTCTTCCGATACAAAATGATAGATATAATATATATATATGGCATATTATATTTATATAGCATAATGTATAGTTTAATATAAAATAAGACATACATGATGGGCTGGGCTGGGCCGGCTGTCTTTCCGTGTCTGATCATTTGGTAAAAAAGCATGAAAGAGATCCACCCCAGACCCTTTCCGTGTCTGATCATTTGGTATAAAAAAGCATGAAAGAGATCCACCCCAGACACCACAACTAAAACTGATCGAGGCAGTATGATTTATACCAACTGAATTACTCAACAAACTTGTAACAAAATTTAGCTTTTCCTTTATTGCAGGGAAGAACGAAGATTTCTACCAAAGTTTAGCTTTTCCTTTCTTGCAAGGCAACAAAGTTCACTCACTTCCAGGAATTTTTTTAAAATGAAAGTATGTACACTGTAAAGTGTCTCAGCGAACAAAGATCAGGTATCATCACTGCTGATAACACAGTCAGAAATCCCATTTATGTCTTTTTTGTCATGTTTTCATGGTCTGTCCTCACAATTCGCAAAGCAGCATGATGAAAAACAGAGAAATGAAAATGAAAAGTGGAACAAGTCGTCAGGTCTTCAATCAAATTGGAATAAAACAGAGAAATAAAAAAGAAATGAAAATCTTTTTTAGAAAGCATCAAATTGGAATAAAACAAGTCGTCAGGTCTTCACAAATTAGATATTAATATAGGAAAGCAAAAAACTGTTGGGCATTAGCCCTGTTTTTTTATTAATGGAAAATAAAATTCATCTCATTTTGGATTGTAGAACGACACACAGATGACAGAATTCCCAAGCCCAAGTAAAAAACAAAAACAAAAATTGTGTCGAGGAAGACACAGAGACAAAAGAAAGATAATCGTCCCTCCCCATCATCAAAATCCTATTTCCTTTTAGTCCTCTTCCTCGGGGAAGCGAAGATGCTTTCCTCGTGGTGCGGGTATACCCTTGAGGTGGACGATACCAGGCGATGCTGCAGCTCTCGTCTCTGTAACCTCCTCTTCTCCTTCTATCTCGTCATCGCTGTTGTAAACAAATCGAGTATGCTTCCCTGTAAACTCTGGCATTCTCTTCTCCCCCACATTCATCTTGCTCAGCCCTTCGCAGAGTTCATCCACAAATGATCCTATTTCTCCATCTTCTTCTTCCTCTCCATTGTAATGTTCTTCTTCTTCTTCTTCCTCTCCATTGTAATWTTCTTCTTCTTCTTCTTCAACGTAATCTTCTTCATTGATGTCTTCACCTTCGTCTTCATCTTTAATACTACTTGCGTTAGCCTGACAAGACCAAACTGAAGAGTCGTCTTCATCAATTGATTTCTCTGGACAGTCATCAGTCCCTTCTTGGTATGTCAATACAGATGAGCATTCTGAGGAATCAGGCATTTCTGATTTTTCAGAGAAATCCAGCAGTAATGATCGAGTGATGAGACTCTTTTCAGATTCAAGAGTCTCTTCTGTTGTTCCAACCATGTCCGTGTACGACTGCTGGAGATAAATAAAAATTATCAATAAGAAAGAAAGAAGGCAAAACTAGAAAGATATAATTAAAACATTAAATGACTGAAATCAAGATTGATCGGTCTAACCTGGGTAACAATAGATTGATCTACTACTTCGGACAGAGTTGAAGAAGCCAAGAGCCCATTTGGATTCAATTTGATATCGTCATTGCAGGAGAGATTGGGGACTTGGGGTGTGTTTGCTGGAGTTGGGGCTAGAAGCCCAGATGGGGAGCTCACGACGCTTTGTAGGTGGAGAAATGGGCGATGCTCCAAGGACAGCTTCGACATCTCCGCTTCTTCTTCGACCTTTTGAAGGAGTGTCTTAACCTGACATCGGAGTAAGGCCTCGCCGGAACCTGGTGTCTGCTTCGGTAGATTCCTCTTCTTGGCAAGGGATGAAGGGGTTTGCAAGCTTCCCGTAGCAAGCCCAACAATGGGGGAATCATTCGTGATGTCAAAGAGCGCCGATCGATCGGATTTACCATTTCTTTGTCTTGATAGGACCTTTTCAGATTCTTCGTTCTTCCCTGAAAAGAAAGAGAAACACAGAAAATCCAATGAGAAGAGGAAAACCTAAAGACTCGTTGCAGTGGAATTTCCGATTCATTAATTGCATTCATTTTGAAAACCAGAATGACATACTTGCAATGGGGATGTTGTTCATTGCAGCTGAGGTTTGTGATCTTGTTGTAACCCTTCTCGTTGATGATGGAGTCTCCATTGTTGGCAGGAGGATTGTGTGCTTTTTTGCCCGGGAACTGTATTACGATAAGGAGGGGAAAGGCGAAAATGAATACTGAATACAAAGAGAAATCGGAAAGTGAACACAAATATAAAGATGGCATGTTAAGGCACAATCGTGTGTGGTTAAAAAAGATTTGAAACGTGGCTCCAACGGTAATGTTACCGTTAGAGGCTTAGAGCGTGTAGAGAGATGGAAACTCTTCGTAAAGCGCTCGAAACTAGCCGTTGGGAATTTTTTGTATTCTTGTTTTATTTTAATTAAAGTCGCTATATGGGAATGACCACATATACCGCCATATCGTGAGGTGTCAATGTACAGTAATACAGTATAGTGGTCCCACAAGATACTGATAATTTAATAATTTAGTAATGTCGTTTAAAATAAATAATCTTTATTTTATTAATTTGTTATACAAATAATTTCATAATTTAGTAATTTAGATTAACTATACTAATAATTTTTTACAAAAATAATAAATTACTATTAATTACTTAATAAAATAATTATTTTTCCATATTATCTATTAGTGTTCTATATTATTCATTTTATTTCATAAATGATTATATGTTACAACTTTTTGTAAATATTATTTAAATATTTAAAATACTTAAATATTAGTATACATAAAATAATGTTGTAGTCATAATTAAGTTAATCTATAAATTAACTTTTTAGTCATAATTAAATTAATCTAAGCTTGAGCTCAAGGTTTAAGACTTTTTTTTTTATTATTCATAGGTTTAAGACTTCAAGTTAGGCTTGGGTTCATCCACAACTTGACTTAGCCCACCTAAATTGCACCCCTAAGAGCAATGTGACATTAGTAATTGAACTGAACCAAATTGAATACAATCCATGAATATATTATTTTTAGGTCGTTAACTATTTTTAGATAATATTGAAATCGAATGAGCTATGGGGGATGGGCTACCCCGATTGTGTAGCCCAATGAACCAGAAATAAAATAAAACAAAAGATTTTGGGCCAGATTTTGATAGTGTATTACCAACTTTTAAAGTTGCCTAAGACAGCCCGGCCCACACCTCAAACGTAAATAATATTTGTCTCGACCTAGGATAGGGATAGGCTTACTCGTGTTAATTATAAAACTATGTTGTTTTATAAATTAAAATTTATATTCCTATCTATATATTAATATAAAATGTGTTATCTAAATATTATATAATAATAYTTATCATATATGTATATAACTTTTAGGTCAAGCTTAGGGGTTTCATACCTTGGGCGTTGTCCTGGGGATGTCATTGGACTTTGAAAATCTAATACCAAAATAGACTATGAATCTAGTAATCCTAGATTTAGAATTTTAGATGTTAGAACTTGCACCTAGTTAACAATTATATTGGATGTGGATTTAACCCCACTCAGATTAAAATCTAAGTCTAATAAAGAATTATTACTTTATGTATATATGTAGTAAAATTATGTATACATATAGATATTATGTGTGACTATATAAAGTATACAATTGATAAATTTAATATTTTATATTTTATATTTATATACATTTATTTTACATATATACTTTAAAAATAATTAGTTTTTAAAACTTTTTAGATGCGGATGCATAACTATAAATTTCATAATCGGGTGTAGATGCGGATGCAGTTGGATAGGAATAGATTTGAATCCAATCCATTTACAGCCCTGTTGCCCACATTATGTGTGGGCTTGGTGCAAATTCAAGTTAGACCTACCTCACAATAAAATAGTTGCTTGAGCTAGAATATTTATAGGTCTAGTTGGGTTGGGCTAAGTTATAAATGATCATCCTTAAGTAGAGCCATAGAAGGGGTCGTAGGACATTTCTAATTGGGCCTAGGATAGTTCATAAGAATGCCCAACCCGACCAAACCGATCAACCTGGACCGACCCAACCTGAGTCGGCCGGGTTTTCATCAGTACCGGTCGGTTTGGTTGGGAAAATATATAAGCCGATATATCGGATCGGTTTTCGGTTTTCTTGTGTGAAAACCGAAACCAACCCGACCCGAACTAGTTCGGTAGTTCCTAGTTTGAATAGTTTCCTACTTAACTATAATTAGTCTTCTACTAGAACTAGAAGGCCCATTAGGCAATTACAATTAGAATAGGCAATCTATCATATTTTCTAACTTTCTACAATCTTTTACACCAAATAGGCAACCCATTAGGCAATTACAATTAGAATTCAATTAGGTGTCCTTTTGTATAGGAGCAAAACCGAAACCAACCCAAACCGACTCAAACCGACCAGGTCGGTTTGGCCTATCAATGAGTCGGTTTCAGTTTCCACCTCAGGTAACCCGACCAGGTCGGGTCGGTTGGGAAAACCCCAATAAGCCGACCCAACCCAACCCGTGAACACCCCTAATTGGGCCATTATTAGTTTTATTATTTCAATTAGTTTTTATAAATTTTATGTAAAATGCAAATGATTTGTTTTATTACTTTTAATATTTAGTTACTTTTATTATCAATTTTAATTATCCCATCAATATTAATTTTTTTTAAATAGAATTCAAATGTATTTTCATTTTTAATTTATGAACTACTAATTTTATTAATTTACTAAATTTTAATAATTTCTAGGTAATAACTTGCTAAGGTTTAATATTTTTATTAACTTTAGTTATTATGTTTCAAATTATAATTTTCTAACAACTAACCAATTAAATACAATTCAAAATGAAATAAAAAATTGAATGAGAGTAAAACTCTCTCTCTCTCATTATTTTTAGGTGATTTAACTATTTATGATATTTTTATTAACTAATTTTTAAACAGTTGGGCCCATGCCAGCCTTGAAGTATTAGGCCCAACTTGGCCCTAAAATTTCTGGGCCTGATGGGGCCAAGGCCCATACTGGACTGAAATGATCACCCCTAAGCAAATTTCTCTTGGTTTATTGGATTAATGATGAGAGAAGAGAGAATAAAATAAAAAGAATAAAGAATAAAGAAGAATAAAAAAATAGAAAAGAGTGATTTAATGGAGTAATTGAGTGGAGAGAGAATTAGTGGGGTGAGTTATTGGAGGAGAAAGAGTTAATGGAATGATTAATGAGGAGAGATAATTAAATGAGTTAATGAGAAAGAGAAGAGAGAGTTAAAGATGAATTAATGAGGAGAGATAATTAAAGGAGTTAATGAGAAAGAGAAGAGAGAGTTAAATTTTAAAAATAAATTTTTTAAAAAACCTAAATTTGATTTCCTCCTATATTATGATGCTGGAAAAATATGATACTAGTAGAGCATTGATCAATCAAAACCCCTTATGAAAACTACCCTGAATGGTTAACACTTTCATGAAACTGGTTGATTGATTCTAAGCTTCTCCAGTATCATAGTGAATCATAATTTCATGTAATCACAATTTCCATTTTAGGAAATGTGAACCTTTGTGTGATAACAACCATCATCTCAAACAGTTCAGATCAGGTAGGCACAACATTTTAAACACGTTCAATGATCACTTGAATTTTTTTTTTTTGACACTTGTCCCTTAAAATAACTTCAACCCACCCTTGAAAAAGATTAAAATCCACTTTTGATGATTGTCAAAATATTTATTAAGTGCTCATTTAATATGCTTACTTATGTTGTGCCTACTAAGCTGGGTTCCAATAAACCATTTAACCTAAAAGCTTAAGCCTTGAAAGCTGCTAGGTAAGAGTGTAATTTGGACGGACTTGAATTGGAAAATTGTTAAGATTTCAATGGGCCTGAGCTTTCAATACAGTGTAAATTCTTCAAATCGGATACCCAACTTGCTTGCACCCGTAGTGTTAGGTGGACCAACTGGTTGGTGGCCCAGTTGCAAGTTGGTGCATCCATGGCTACAGCTTTACCGAGACGTGGGATCCATTACCGAGTTACCATTACTACCCCCCACTAGGGGACTTAAGGGGGTTTGCGGTTTGGGGATATCTTATGCTGACAAACCATTTGGTCAATTGGAAGGACAACTGATATGCTATATCTGGCCCTTTCCGGATCCCAAACCACCGAGAAACTGTCACCCCTAATATAGCATAGAGTGACTTATTAGTAGTTGGAACCTAGTTTTTTTATTTTTATTTTTTCATTTTTTTTAAGGATAGAACCTAGTTGTTGTCAACGGATTCGCTGCTGTTAGAACAGAGTTTGATCACCCTCAGCCTGTTGGCACAAACAGTCTCCTGTCAGGTTTGGAGCCCATTCACATGAATGATTAATGTTGTAGTGACAGCGAGGTTATGATAATGAATGAACTATGGTCAATTTCTTCTATTTGAATCATAATTTTCAAACCATCTTTGATCCAAACAGTTGGACCGTTTGGCCCAAAAACTGTTCAACCATTCAAATAATCGGTTTAGTTTTACTTCTAAACTGTTTCTTTGTCAAAAGTCATTGACTTGGTCAATGATCCGTTCACTTGAGTGATCAAACAATTGATCTATAGATTCACAGACCGTTTTTATTTATTTTTTAAATTGCACTAGACCAAAACTAGTGACCAAAGCGGTAATGTACTGAGTATAGATGTGCGAACAGTTAGTGGGGAGGAGATTCGGAGTGGCAGACATGTGCCTTCGTGCCTTGTACTCTGTTTCACACATCCATTTTGTCCGCGTATTTTCAAAAGGAGCATTTTAAAGAATAAAAAGTACTGGTCAGTCTGGTCTGCTGGATCGTCTTTATTTTCCAAGGGCCAATATGGGTTCGCTAAACGTTCGCAATCAAAGCAAATTAAGGTGGCCCATTTTTTTGGCAAGCTGGGGTTGTCCTTAATTGTAATGGTGAACGGTTTGACACCCATCTGTCTTGGTTAAATCAGAATCTTTAGGATGTTGTGTTGGTACCTAATTCTAGTCTTTGACCCGCCTCAATGTTGTGTTGGTACCTTCAATTCTATCTCTTAATTTGATCCGCCTCAAATAATCTCTTTGGTGAAAATGGAGGGCTTTCACCCTCTGGGGCCTGTGGATTGTGGTGGCTATCTCTTTGATTTCTTAGCTCAGCAAGAACTCGATCATCATACCTAATACAAGGAGAGCTGCGGTGAACCATATCCATCTTTGGACATCTAATGATGATTACGGTTTTATTTGGCGTGTCTTTTTGTGTGGGTTGCTGATTTTTTAGAAGTCCAATAATCTRTATTTTGATCTTTTGCCATTTGAAAAGATACGGGAAGCCCATTTCAARTTATTTTCAAGAAGTTCTAATGGGGTTTTTCATTTTTTTCTTTCAATTCATCTTTATACAAAAAAACAATCTTCAAACTGTTAAGTCTTAAAGAAAATTACCAGATCACCCTTACATCTTTCCACATTTTAAGCTAGCAAATACAGACAGGTACAATAATCACAAATAGTAGGTAATAAATACCATAATTATTATTATTTCAAGCATTTTTATTTTGAAGAAGCTAGAGATGGCCGGGGGTCCATCGTTTCTTATTTTCTAAATAAACAAGTAGCTAGTAAAGCTAATAATGTAAGGAATGAAGAGTGGTTTGATTGAAATTAATAGTTAAGGACACTTGTGCTTGTTGCCACGAGTGGTCATATTGGCATAGCAAGGGCAGACCTCTTCGTTGCCGGAGGTGCCAGGTGGGACGCAGTTGCATCTGTAGCAGCAGGTTCCACATGCCCTCTTGCAGAGTCGCGGCCTCGAAGATAACCTACATCTCGCTGCACATGCTGCACCACAATCTACAATTTCCTCCCCACCCCCAGAAAAAGAAAATTAGAATCCCATATGTAAATATGTAAGCAACTCCCTTCTCTAACTTCAAATTTCTTCCAACACAAATTAACAAGGCAGAAAACATAATAATATACGTACCTATGGCGTTCGATGAATAGCTTTCTGCACCTTCTGTACTGCTCAACTGCAACTCATCCGTGTCATGTACCAGCAGGAATTGAATGCCTCTTAGTAATTGATGACTGATATGAGAAGGCTTAATTTGCAAGTTAAGATAAGTTAAGCATTTACCATTCGATCAGCTTCAACTAGATGAAGAACAACAAGGGAGATGATGACAAATGAAGCAAAGCAAGCCCTGTTAACAGCCATGGCAAAAATGGAGATATCAGAGACAAACAGAGAGGAAACCTGCTGATGGGTTTTCAAGGTTTTGCCAAGATGCTAGCGTCGTATTTATAGCACAATCAACACACACTACTGACAGAGAGAGAGAGACGTCGGGGAGGCGCATGCGAGGACGGGAACATTCTCTATCTTTATCCGGACGTACCAGTTGTCATGTAAGCAGAATCGTCGATCAGGAAAAAAAAAAATAACAGAAGAAGAAGAAGTAATAAAGAGCAAGTGTGAACATGTGGTGTCAACCTAGCAGATCACTACCAGACTCGGTACTCCACATTACTACCCCATTCCGCAGGGATTTGTCTCAGCCTCAGCTTCTTTCATCGCATTGATTAAGACAGAAGTTAGGAGTCGTTTGGTTATAGTAATATCTTTGTTTCAATTCCTTCCTTCAAAACTAGGAAAATTTGAGCTCATTCATATTATGCGAGAGATAATAAATTAAAGGAGGCTACTTTTAATTTCCATGGGCACAAACACAGATGTCTAGTGGGGGCCCACACAGCTGTAATGGGCCTGGACTGATGAGGTACAGCTGTGAGTTTGTGGAATTGAACGAACCACTTTGAGTGTAGTGTAGTGTTTGTTGAAGAAGACGGTCGAGAGAGAGGGATAGGGAAATGGACAGACCTGTCACTCAATATGCACGTGCATGCATATATATGCAGTACACACGTAGCTTTGGCTTGAATTATTGAATTAGGACTTAGGACTGTTACTTCCAAGACTTTGACATGGTCGGTGAGGGACTGAGGGGGGGAGTATGTAATGGGTCCGCATGTAGTAGGCATGTTTTAATAGCTGTGTCATACATTCTTCACTCTTAATGTGACTTTCGCTCAAACGTTTTTGTTCTATTAGAAAGAAATTATTAAAAAGTAAAAACAATAGAAAAGTGAAACCTAAACGTATTGGRAGTTGGGACTCATTTACGTTTTTCTTTTTTATTTTTAATTATTTTGATAAAAATAATAAAATAATAGATAGTTTCTGCCTAATGGAAYAAAAACATTAGAATGAATTAATTAAAAAGAAAAACGTAAATGAATCCCAATTCCCAACATGTTTAGGTTTTACTTTTTCATTGTTTTTATTTTTAATTATTTCGACAAAGATAATAAAATAGTGGATAATTCCTGTCTAACCGAACAAAAACGTTTGGACAAAAGACACATTAATTAAAGCATGTGTCACACACAACTATTACATGCTCCCTCATTGTAATTATCCAACGTGCCTACTAAATCCGGACCTCTATGTAATATTGTAATTGTGTTTGTGTTTACGTCATCCTCACTRTGTGTCGTGTTTATCTATTAATTAGGTCCCGTTTGGAAGGGGCTGATTCAGCTGTTTTGAAGCGGTCCGGATAAATTATTCAGAGGTTCAAGTGGACACACCCACACGTTCCTCCTTCAAATTACTGATTAATGGCCAATTTGGGCTGTCCGGATTTTTCACTACACATGGCTTACAGGATATGTGTGCGTGGGGCCCACCTCGGAAAGCCAAAACTCGCTTCACTTCARCCCTCTTCCAAAAGAGTGCCCATTTGGGAGGTCTTTCATGCAGCTGCCACCTGGCTTTGCAAGATGAGCCTACATTGAAAGCGTAGAAGCTTTATTTGGCAAAAAATAAAACTGAAAAACCCAAGTACACTAATTCTGCAGTTAATAAATCCATTTTCTAGTAAAGTTAGTTTTAGTAACTTCTTCAAAGCAGCTCGGTCAGTGCAGCTGATTTCCTCCCGAACGGCCTTAATTCATTAACAGTGCAAATTTCACTAGTGTAAATGCAAAAAAGTGCAAATGGGCTGAATGTAAATCTGGCTCAGATTTCACCTTAGTCTGTAAGAAATTAAATAGGAAGTAAAATGATATGGTCCCAATTTACATAAAAGTGATTGGACATTGGAGGAAGGTCCTTCGTTTAGGACTTGGAAGGAGTAAGGTAAGAACCAAATTGATGTGATCTTCACTTTATATGAGAGAGAATCATAATTAGAGAAAATAGTGGAAATTTTGTATCAGTTTTTCAGATGCAAAATTTACACTGCCAATGAATACAAATGAGAGAAGAGGCAAGAGCAAATTTTGCATCTAGTAAAAATACAAACTTAATCAAATTAAACTGAACTAGATGCAAATTAAATTTGTATCAAGTTCAGATTTGCACTATAAACAAACGGAGCCTTGGGTAAACTTGTACCCTCTACTCCCGTGAATTACCCCCACTCCAACCTAATCAAAATAAATGTCCATGCGTAGTGTAATTTTGTATCGGTACAAAAGTATGGGAGTGTGAATGAATTGAGTCTACATTTGGTTTAAAGCTAAAACCCTTCAATTTTATGTTTTAGCTGGTTTTGCCCGTCTTTGATTGCGGTACAATGGAATATCGAATATGGTTGAACCAAAATAAAAGTAAAACACTAATACCTGAAATTAAAATGAACCAAAATTAGGGATCCTTCTCGTTTGTTTAATTGGGCTTGGGCCCTGGCAGGCGTACAAGAACAGAAACTTTTCCAACGTCATTGTTGGATCCAATAAGAAGAAACAAAGATCCCGATGAAGCTGTCATGAGACAGTCAGTACCAACACCCTGCAGGGTCTCAAATGGCACCTGCCTTTCTCTGGAGGGACAGAACAGACGCCAACTTTGCTGGGCCTTGGCATGGTGGGCCTTCAGTGGAGCTGGTTTGTTGGGACCCAGTCAACGTCATTACCCATCTTGAGATTAACAAGGTTAAGCCCCCTTACACACCGATTCATGTTTTATTCAAGCAATGGACCCACTCTTCTTTACTTGATCAATCTACCTAATCTTTCTTTATAGAACTCTTAACAAGTGAAACCCAATAATCTTTCCTTCACCAATAATAGATTAAAATAAACCATTTACTTGATTGATTCGATTCATTTAAACCTTTTTTTCTTGGTATTCACAGTGAAATTGGAATCATATGTCTAATGGAATTACAAGATAATAAATCAAATTCAGAATTTCGGATATTCCCGGTGTGTAATGGTCTGGATTCGGGTATACCACTATCTGAAATTCTGAATTCAATCAGGTCCATTTTTAAGCTCTGTTATTTTATAATTTCTAGTGGTTCACCTACCACCCACTTAACATTCTTTTTCCTATAATACTTTCTTGTTATATAAACAATTCTGTTAAAAATCCGTAACTGGAGGGTTAGGGACCATTTGGCTACCACCAGATCGGAACTAATTAAAAGCATGCATCTGACACCCACAAGGTGATTAAAAAGGCCCATGTCTCAATTGCAATTGCGAGTTTGCGACCATTCATCGGAAAACAGAAATTACATTAAATCATTAATTGATTAAGCTGCAATCACAACTTTTTACAACAGAAAAGAGTAATCAAAGAAGAAGAAGAAGAAGAGATGAATTGACGGTCTCTAATCTATCATTCTCCAAAGAGGATTTTTAATAAAAAAAGCTTTCCATCCCTGAGACTGAGTTGGTTAAGGGCATTTGCGTAGGTTGTCGCGGGTTGTCATGTTGGCGTAACAGGGGCAGACCTCAAGGTTGCCGGAGGTGCCCGGAGGGACGCATTTGCACCGGTAGCAGCAAGTCCCACAAGCCCTATTGCACAGCCGAGGCCTCGATGATAAGCTGCACCTCGTCGCACATGCTGCACCACAATCTGAAATTCCACATATATATAAAATTAATTATTATTTGTTAAGCAGATCACCATAGCAATAGCAACTTGGGTCTGGGATCCTCCCCCATGATCGATCGTTTTCTTTCATCTGACGACTTCTGTTCACTGCTCTGTATGTAATATATGCAATGTAGGTGAGGTTAGTACCTATGGTGTTGGGGGGAGAGCTCTGTGTGCCGTTGCCATTGCCACTGCTAACCTGCAAGCAGCTCCATACACAGAGCCAGAGAGAGAGAGAGAGAGTGATCAGAAAATTTACCCTTTTTCTTTAAGTGAATCTGCGTATCGCCATAAGTTGAAAGTTTACCATGTTATCAGCTTGAGCAAGTTGAAGAACAAGAAGAGAGATAAGAAGAGAAGCGAGAACAGCCCTGTAGCTGTAATAGACAGCCATGACCATGAGGGGGGATATAACCAGAGAGACAGAGCAAGAAATTAAGAGAGAAAATTGGGTTTCAAGAAATTATCAGCTTGGTGATTACCATTGTTATGTAGCCAAGAAACGCAAGACTCTATTTATAGTCACAGAGAGGGTAAGCGCATGTGAGAATGGGAACATTCGCACCTCATGTACACCCAACCCAAGTATTGGAATGGATTTTGGCAAGGGCTGCGCTAATTCTTCAGCTGGAGTCATCGGCTCCAGTCAGTCACTTCAGGGTTTAAGCCTGGTGGTGGTGGACTGGTGGAGACTATTGAGTAATGGGTATTCGGTATTGACTAAATGCCAAGCCATTAGCCAAATTAGCCGCACGTGCCGGTGGCTCATGTCATGCTGCCAGGTTGTCAAATATGAGTTTGCGGGTCCCACACGGCAAGAAGAATTGAAGCGAGAGAGAGTGCACGTGGTGCACTGCCATCTGTTAGCATCTGGTTTTGTAGACAAGGAAAGAAAAAGAGGAACCGGAAAGGCGCACCACAGCTTTCCGTCGCCGTTAGAGAGAGAGAGAGAGAGACGAATCTGCCTGAGTCTCTAAAGCTCAGAAAGCGAAAGAGATATTACAGATTGGTTCCGCAGCTTCTGAACTGTTGCTTTTTTCTTTATGGTCTATCTATCTATTGAACAGGTTCTGAGTTCTCACCGGTGGAGCTGTTGAGCTAAATATCTAAACTAGCTTCTCGACAGGACAGCTGTATAGTGTCGTTGTATACAGCTGTGTTTTCTATTCAAGTTAACCTTAATTAACCATGTCTCAGCATTATAATCATCACCCTCACCTCACACTCTCACACCACCTATTTGCTGTAAACGAGGTAAAGTTTATTGTTTTTGTATCGGATGACGATGTTAAGAGGAAAATCGGGTCCTTTGTGTCGTTTGTCTCTTTTTGTGTTTTTGTTTCATACCTTCACAGTAAGGAGAAATGGCGAAACTTTCTAAAATCAGGCTGCCTTCCTATATTCAACAAACAAATTAAAAAAGGCGAAACCGCGTAAGAATTTTATTTGGAGAATAAATCATATTTCGGTCTGAAAATTTTTTTCAAAACTTCTCCCAGATTAACGATATTTTCTACACCCTTTCTCTCCCAACATTGCAACTGTGAATATATGATAATAGTATCGGACAGTATCGATAACCTTTTTTTTTTTTTTTTTAATTTTCTTTTTCAAATCTAGTTCAGACGTGCTGGTTTAAAGTCCCATCCACCCCCTGAACCCAAGGTTCAAACATATCGTATCAGGAGCATCCCAATACACCCCTACAGAGGGTGTATCAGGGTTTTGACCGGTTCAGGAGGTGAAAGAACCTTAAACCGGTCCTTCGAACCGGATTAAAAAAAAAACAGTATCGATACTGCCCGATACGCCTCTACTGGCATATCGGGCATATTGATATTTAAAACCTTGCCTCAACCGATCAAAATTCCAATACACCTGTACAGGCATATCAAAAAACTTCCAATACGACACATCAACCGATACGGCCTGATAAGTGTCAACACTTTGAACCTTGACAAGAAAAAAGATTTATGATATAAATTGGAATGGACAGAATCAAAATCCAATTCCTGGTGGAATGGCCATTCCCTCGCCCTTTCCCCTCCGTTGGATAGAGGTGTAATTTGGGCACGAAGTATATGTCCACCAATCCATCTCACTGAAATGCACAATAAAGATGCAATTGACTATGGTCGTATCCAGTTCCCAAGTAAATTTTGGCTTTATAGGAAGCCTAAAATGCAAATCCATTCACTAAATTACATTATATATATTCTTTACCCAAAATCTCCTGCATACCGATACCAATCTTTACAGCCATCCCTCAATCCCGTCAAGAGATATACATGAACCACGTGCAGAGCAAAATAAGGGAATCGAGGTTGAGCACATGCCCGCATTTCCAAAATTTATGTCATTTGTAGCTGTACTGACCCTACAAACTATTGCACAAGAAAAAGCTTTCTCTCACACCACTCCAGATGGAAGGCGTAGCACAAGCTGTCCACCCACTAGGCTGCAAATCAGAAGAATTTACATTATTAATTGGACTACAATACTTCACAAGGCTCACTCAGCTTGTTGCTCACCTTTTGACATAGTAGTAACAGAAATCTGCAAGGATGAAAGTTTGGACAATTTCTGAGAGAAGAACCATGGATGGCCACATCCCATAGCCTAAAGCTGTCAGTAAACGTCCCCGAGTATCCAATACCTGTTAATAGGCACAAGAACAGAAGTATGAGCAGTGGAATGTAAACCCAATTAATCCCTACCTGCTGGAAGTGGCCAGAGAGAAAATTTCACCCTGAAAGATAGCAGCTGAACAAATAACCAATATGCGTTTACACGGGAAAAAAAGGGCAGATAACAACCATATGCTTTTCTTTCCTTTTTCATCCATAGGAGGAACCTAGGAGTAGCCCCAATATATGATAAAATGAGAAAAGTAGACCAAGATGATTTGTTCAAATGCATAGAAGACCATCAACAGCACCAGTTAGAAGTGATCTGTTACAAGTTCAAGGGGCTAGAAAGGCTAGGGATAGGCCAAAAAGGACATGGGTAGAAGTAGTAAGAAACGATTCAAGCACAAATAATTTAACAGAGGATATGGCTTTAAATAGAATGGATTGGTGAAACAGAATGCATGTAGCCGGCCCCCATATAGATGGGATTAAGGCATGGTCAATGATGATGGTCATTTATGGTTCATGATATTTGTTGGACAAGTAACTGGTTATATAGCAAGGTTGGATCCAACATAGAATTGTTCTACCCTAGGGACCTCACATAAAGCAACAGTTGGATGGGCTCGACCATCTAATCTTACGATTGATTATCTACATCTTATTCACCGCATAATATCCGGGGTTATCTAAAATCAATGGATTGGAATTTGGAGAGAACAGATTAACTGAACTTAATAGCTGTATTTCAGTGTGTGGGACCATTCATAATACCCCACACTAGCCATAAAGTGTACATGGCCCTGAACTTTGGCTGGCGTGGAGCATTATGATTGATCCCACAGCCCAAAACACATATCAAGTTTCAGCTAATCTGTTCTCTGAATTGGATGGCTTAAGATTGTACACTCGAGAGAATATTTCTGATTGAGGAGACACTTCAAACAAAAAGAAAGAAAGAAAGAAAATAATCAAATTTTATTGGACCATTAGACCTTTGAGCACCCAAGAGAAACGTCTGATATTCTTTCTTGTGTTATCTTACCTGGAGGACCCAATGAGCACAGCTCAAGAACCTTGCAATTCCCAATGCAAATACATAATGAGCTGTAAATGGTTCAACAATCTGCAGAGTCAAAGAAATATCAGGTTTCAGAGTTTATGTATGAAGAAAAATAGTAATTCATCCAACTTAAGAAATCAATGATTTATCTTTCTGCCTTCATGTATTACCTTGGTGTTCTGCATGACACGCAGCTGTGGTAATACTGAAACAGCTTCCATATATACACAAAAGGCCCAAGCAATCCTGTTAAAAAGATGATGTGTTGTTGATGGATGAACAAATAGAGCTAATAAAGCACAAGGTGCCACCTACATCCACGTTGGAAAAAAAATGTTAATAATGACAAACAATAAATCCATAAAAACAACATTAAGATCAAAACAACAACACCAATGATGGTGATGAAAAGTATTTATTACAGTAGTAATGCTTATGCAATTGAATTCTATTATTTTGTGTTTTGAAGACTCAACCATTTTTCCTCACAAGTGCCAGCATCCCTAATAAAAATGGCTGAACACAATAACAACAGATATATTCCATTTTTTTCTAAAATTTGGCCAAGTCAACCAAAATGTTTAGGCAAAACTTGGTTAATCACATTACAGATCATATGCATATGCACAACTATGTGTGTATGAAGAAAGGTCCCTAATCAGGCAAGTGGAGAAATTCCCACCTATTTCTGTCACATGGAAGAATCCTATGGCCAATTTAAACCATTCATTGGGTAATGGACCCTCTAGGTCAGTTGCATTCTAACCAACCCAATCGACATCAACCTTATAACCCTCTTTGTATTGAAATTTTCCCCAAGTTACACAATCCATCTGAAATTTTTCCACTTTAATTTGAAAAAGGCCCCAAAATAAATTATTCTAGCCATGTGGAAAGCTCAAGGTTGCCTCTTGAAAAGAGGGCAAGGAGAGGAACACAGAAGAGACCAGTATTGCAAAATGGAAGATTTGAAGTAATTTTCTATTTACTAAATGACACAGGTAGAAGATATATACCCTATATGTTATATACACCCATCTTGTTATCAATTATTATTATGTATCGGTTACAGAAATTTCAAGAATATTAAATTATTACAAGTACATCTTTTCACATTGTGGCATAGCTGCAGTAACAAAAATTTACATCCATTATAAATAAAGTTAAATTATGCGCAGGTTGATATTTCAGGTTTTTTATGTCAGTGTGTATCGAATTATATATGTTCATAGATGGCACAAGCATGTGCCACCAGCTGAGTTATTTTAGCATAAGCAAGCACTTTTGCATAAAGCTAATACTAAATAAATAGCAGATACATTGATGTCTCAGGTTTCTTCAAGTCAGTATACTCRTACATGCATATAAACCTCAGTCCTAAGTACTGATTAGGATTATTTTGCAGGTTAAGCCTCCAATATGACTAAGAGGAGAGACCAACGCAAATCAAGAAAGAATACAAAAAGATAACCAGTAGCATGTACAACCTACAAAGCCAACAGAATAGCTACTGCAGGTCCAAGCAAACAAGTAAAGTACTTCTGTTCATCCTTACAAGGTATATCTCTAAGACTCTAACAAACCAGCTCATGGATACATTACCATCTCAAGGTTCAATTTCATGAAAAAAGAATGTGGAACCCAATGAAGAAAACTCACCACATAATATATGGCAAAATTATCTTTGTCCTCCATGTAACTAGATTTTAGTTTAAAACGAATCATATAAATAACCCACAGGGTTGTCCCAAGTGTAGCTGAATCAAGGATTGTGTGTATATCATACTCCATGACAAAACTGCAGTATAGTCTAACAGCTAAAAATATAGCTGTTAGTTCCTGAGACTTGAGTGAAAGTCCTGCAAAGAGTTAAAAGTAAAAGAAGTGAATCTAAAATATGCAATAGCAATGGGAGCTGAATTAAGAGAGGATCTACACTTTTGGGCTGATAAGTAGCATCGGTAAAGGATTATAATAGCTGATATATATATATATATATATATAAGAATCTGTCCAAGGGGCAAAAATGTAATTGTAAAAAGTTGATCACAAATCATGGGCTATCAGAAAATATTACTTTTAAATTCAACCATTCATGCAAAATAGAAGGATTACATGTAAAGGGAACACCGCGCAAATAAAACTAAAGATTCTGATGAAAAGATGACAGAGGGCTATTAAGCACTACATGCTATTAGGAACACAATCATATCACGTCTCATCCTTTTCTTCCATTTATAACTCCACAACCTATTTCCGCAATAAGCCTCAAACCTAGATTATCTCCTCTCTAGAATTAACACTCAAAGGATTCCAGTTATTAAGAATTTTTATCACTGCTAGGTCAACCACATTATAAAACAACTGTAGAAAATAAAAAATAAAAGGCAAGTTTTAAAGGAACCTGCAATTATGTTCAAACTTTGGATACAAATTTTAAGACAAAGAAAACTGATCAGGCTGACAAAGCTCTCAGTTTCCCTTATTTATTATCAAATCTTTTACATTGACAGCTAACAGTCATCATGGACAAGGAAAAACAGAAGGATGTAAAAGAAACCTCTGAACACAAGAAGCAGCAATTCCATTAAAATGAAACTTCAAAACATAATCTCTGTAACCAATAGATTAAAAGATAATAGAACATCTCAAGTGTCTAGATGATGCCTATTGCATCCCTTTGGGGGGGACTTCCGGATACAGAAACACCACAGACCGTCTGATGATCTACCAATCTGGCCATGACTCAAAGGAAGCATCAGCAAAAGACTTTTCTAGTACATATGATATTTAAGCTCCAATGTAGTCACCATTGTCTGTGAGACAAAACGAATCATAAAAATCTTCTCTTGGACCCAGACTGTCAATAAAGTGGTCATTAAAGTTTAACTAGATAGTATCACCAGGGAGGATAATGGGAGGATGTTTCTCCAAACTCAACCTCCAGTTCACAAACATAGACTAAGAACCCTCCTTATCCTTTTTGGGGGACTTCTTCTTGCAAAGGGGTGACATGTACAAGCAGGCCCTGCCTTCTCCCCAAACGTGAAATCTCATTTCTACCCCTTAATCTTGCTACCGATCCAATCCATTCAATGAGAAACACCCTATTAACTTGAACCAACCTCCCAATTCATATCAACTCTTCACCAAATGCATAACCCAAATTGCAATTTGCACCACCACCCTACATCTGACCACTATAATTTAACACCCTCCAGGAACCCCTAGGTCCATAAATCAAAGACCCATTTGAGCCAAAGAAACTTTCTGAAACCCACCTCACCAAGAGAACAATATGAAGTTGACTAAGACAGTAAGACTAAGAGAGGCTATTACATTCCAACTACAAATCTTGGTCCACTCCTAGGCCAGATGCACTCATAGTTAGTGCAACTTAACAGCCCAATCCCTAGATAAGAGGTCTGCAAGAGCATTAGCTGACCTTTGAATCCACTGGAATGAGGTGTCAAGCCATCAGCTAGTGCTCTGGCATCTAATTATATAATGGAGCCTCTGCGATCTATCTATATACAAGGACAAAAAATCAATTACAACAGTCAGTCCCCTTCAATCACCACTCCATTCCACCATGAGGAAGAAGCAATTTCAAACCTAGAAGCATTTTTTCCTTTCTTTTTTTATTGGTTTTCAAGCCTTGAAGCACTGCCAACAGCTTGGCCATTAGGGAGTTACCTTCACCTACAGGACCTGAGAAGGCTCAAAAGAATGAGGCCTTATGGTTTCAAAGGTTCAAGTATGATTATCATGGCAAGAAAAATACCTAAGAAGTTACTAACTCAAAATTCCCCAAGGACTAACCTATTAAATCTATGATTTAAGCACAAGCTATGGAAATATTCTTACGATAAAATTAGTAAAAAAGTTAGTCCTGCTTCAAAGCAGATCTTAAGGAGTTATCTAGTAAGGAAGCCATGCTCCAAGGAGAGGAGGGAAGTGGAAGATTTTTCTTTTCTTTTTTTTTTCTTTTCTTTTTTTTTTCTTTTCTTTTTTTTTCTTTTCTTTTCTTTTCTTTTCTTTTTCATGGATAGGAAAGCTGAAGATCTCATCCTTGATCACTTATTATTGTCTAATATAAACTTCTCCATCACCCTACCTAGATTGTTAGTTCTAACATCATTATTCTAGACCTTATTTTATTAGTGAATTAGTTTAACAAAACTCTAGTTATCTTGATTCCATAGCCAAAACCCCTTTAACTTGCTACAACTTAAAACTATCATAGATCACTCAACTTGACCTGTATAATATTCTACAGTGGTCACGTTGGGATGAAACTTTCTTTATAACCATTTTATGAAAGATACAGTATCAGGAGAGGTCATATATCCTATCAAAAGTTACATGACATTTTAACAGACTGAACTGTTTACATTAAAAACCCAGGCTCTGATGCATAACTTCTAAATATCAGAATCACAGATGCTACAAAGTTGAGTATATCTACAGGAATATTTCATCTCTAAATATACAAGAATAAGGCTTATTAGTGATATCTTCATCCACATAACTGGATAAGTTGTGATGCCTTTCCATACAGGAATCCTCTAAAACCACTACATAGAAAAATAACCATAATTTGTCACATAAAAGCACCCCATTTTGAACCACTTGATACGACCAATAGAGCCATAGAACACCCTTACATGATCCTTACAAATGAGCTCAAACAACAGACAACTAATGACTCAACTGACAATATCCCTTCTCCATTTAAGATTTCCTTCTAAGAAAAAGTAAGATGCCCATGGATATCTGCCTGGGTTCATGATAGGCAGGTAGGCCTTAAATTAAAGAGTTTGTTCTCAGAATCCCGTATCATTCTCAATACAAAATCAATGATGCCAAAAATCAGAGCCTCATTGCAGATGGAATCCAAAAGGATGTTAATAAATAAATACTATACTTTGAAATAAACCCAAAAGGATTTGTTTTTGCTCATTACCACACATGTAGGATGCAAAATTGACATTAAAATCACAACAAGACTATAGAACCGCTAAGATGAATTTCATACAATGAGGAATAGAAATTCATCTTTTCAACCAAAAAGTTAAAACCTCAGTTTATTGGATGGAAAAACCCTGATCAAGCAGCCCTGGCTTATTTCCAAATCTCTCCCACCCCAGACAAGGTAATACAAAGTACAAACAGAACATGAAGTACAATAATCATCGTTTCAAATAAAAGAACCATTAAAAAACACCAACACACCCACCCTCCAAGAAAATTGTTTCCTTCATTAAAAAATCAACATTGACCAAATCAGCAACCCTAGTGTATGAAAAATCGCCAATTGACCATTTCTCTTCAAAGTTCAAACATGACGGGGTAAAATTTTTATGAGAAAACAGAATAAAGAAAATTCGTGTCTTTCTCACGTATAATGAACCTACTAAAACCAAAAAAAAAAATCAAAGCTTGAGATGAACCGAAACAGGAAAAAGAAAATAAAAAAAAAAAGAAAGAAATAACGGGTAACCCTAGAAATAGTACCAGCACAAGTCTTCTCCTTGGTGAGTTTGTAGATGAGAACCGAGATTCCGATAGCGTGAACGGTCTCAGCGCCTATGAATAGATTATCGTGATCATGAACAATAAAGCGGAGCAAAACAAGCGCGGCCATGCCCGAGACAACAGCGAGGAAAGCCTTCACTTTCGGAGGTTGACGCTTCACCCATGTCACCACGGCGTGGATGGGCCTCTTCGGTCCCTTCATTCCGGTCTAGCTCGATTGTGAAGCTCACAGTCAGCACGTCGCAACCCGAAAACGAAGAAGACAAAGACAAGGTATAATAGAAAACCAGATCGGTCAAATATCGTCCCCGTCCCCGTCCGTAAAAGGGTCAATACACTTCTAGTAGAAGAAGAAATTGCGGTCCGTACTTCTATTATCGATATATTAATAATTAATTATTACTTATCTAATTAATCAATTACAGTTTTAAATATAAAAGCGACTTCGAGCCTTGGAGCTGGAGGGAAGAGAGGTCTGAGAATTGAGGGTTCGTTCGTTCCTGGTTCCTGCCTGCCGTGTACGTTTTGGTTTTGATTTTTTATTTTTGATTTTTGAAGTGGGGATTGGGATTCAGAGTTACAACCGGAATTTGGAAAAGGAAAGGAAGGTGGGTGTTGGTTGGGGTAGGGGGTAGGACTACAGGACTAGAGTCGGAGTCGGGTATCGGCCGATATATCGTCCGTATCGGATTTTAGTAAATCGCATCAGACGATCACAATTGACAGATCGTCTATTGCACCATACTTTATAGTTATAGACTAGAGAATTAATTAATCCAAGAACCATATTAACTATTTTATTTACATAATAAACGGATAATATCTTATCTTATGGAACGTGCAAGTGGGTGGTGGGTGGTGGATTTGAATGGAATGGAATGTGTAAGTGCAGTACTACATAAATAAAAAGATAATGATAATAAAACACGCAACAACCGTTGAACAATCCCCAACTGTCCATTACCATTAATCAATTACCAAACCTCCCCAACTTTAATTGGTTCGGTGAGCAAGCAGGTCGACGGAAAAGAGTGTTATGTGGAGGTACGGAGACTCGGATGACCAACTTTGGAAATGGCCTGGTTTTTAAACGGAAAACAAACAAACAGCTTATTTACCCTCCTCTATAAGACTATAACATAACAGTGCCTCTCAAAGGACGAAAAAAATGTTACGATTGCAAGTTTATTAGAGCCGATAAATATAGAAATAATTTTGTTCCAAGTTTCGAACCAATGCAAGGGATGAGGGATCCCTGGGAAGAGTATTTCTACCGAGTATGGCCATTTGTCTTAAATCATTGTATTTAGCGTTAATAGTGTATCGGTAACCCTGAAAACCGATAAGTATCAATCTATATACACCAATACGTTTCAATGTTTTGACCTTTCTAGTAGGAAGAGGGAACCAAAGTACTTTCTCAGAAACTAATCAACTAAAAACTAAAAATACCTCATCGGTGAAAGGATATATGCCAACCTTAATGAACGTTGTCAATGCAGTTACATCCCTTCTCATAATTCTAACAGATTAACTAAAAGTATTACAAAGGAAAGAGGAAGAAGAGGGAAATGGAATCAACATGTCCATGAGGCTGATCTCTTCATGAAGGGCTTCATCTGTTTGTCCTCCTCAAGTGACACCATACCCAAATGAGATGGGTCTTCAAGCATCATCTTTGCAACCAAGTAACCGGCTACAGACCAAGTCTGGAACTTACGAGCCTGCTTCCCAATATATCTTCCAAGCTTCCCATCATAATATTCAGGCCAATTGTCCTTCAACAACCGCATCTCAGCAAGCTCAATAGCACGCCGTGCAATCTGGGGGCGTCCAGTCTTGATGCATGCAGCTGTTAGGAGCCATAGGAGCACTGTATCCACACACCAGGGGAGAAAAGAAAATTGAAGGTTGTTAAACTCATGACAACATGTCAAACAAAAACTCAAAAAGAATATATTGATGCTTAGAGTCATCTTATTATGGTTATATTTATAAAGATTCAGCGTGCTAGTGGATTAGTAATTCAACTTTATAAAAGTGTAGCTGAATTGTACTTTGGCACCAAGGAGTCAAATGATGCAAGTTTTACCTGGCCAAGATCCTCCATTGTGATAACTCCACCTAGTATTTTTGGGGTCACAGCCAGTTACGATCCTCCATTCATGACCTTCTATGGCTGGATAACAAATTTTTAATGGCATTTCTCCAACCAATTCTTCCCAACGTGATTCAATAAGATCCATGATGGCTGCAGATTGTTCAGGAGTTGCCAAAGATGACAAAATTGCAACACAATTACCCAAGCAAAACCAACGGAAATCCATTCTTGCTGGGCTGACATTTCCAATAAAGTAACCACCACGAGATGGCATGAAATCAAATACCCAATCTGGAAGAGAATCTGGCATAACATTGAACTTGTTAACTGCAGTGTGAGAGTACTCCTCTGTTTTATATCTGTAAATATCATTGAGCTGCTTTAAATCAAGCCAAAAATAACTTCGTATGTGAAAACTAAGTGCATGGAGCCGTTTAGCTATTAGCTCTACACATTCTTTGCCCTCGTCATCTTGTTTAAGTAAAGCCAAAGCACATCTCAGAGCCATGAAAAAAAGAGCTTGTATTTCAATAGGGTACCCATAAACACCCTGAAATAGAAAAAGAATGGAACATTAAGARAACAAACTATCAAAAATCAACTTGAGAAAAGCACAGAAAAAAACATTAAAAAGAAGGAAATTTTCATCCAAAGAAAATATCTAAAACATTGCACAGACAAACAAAAGGAACTTAACAAAATATCTATTATTGCCCACACAAGATGCTCAAACAAATGGATGTCTTTGATGTATTAAGTGCAAGAAGACCAAAGCCATTCTGACAGAGTTGTATGGGTTATCAGGAGATCAGTAAAATTATTTTTCGGAGAAGTACGGACAGGCCCAATGCAGATTTCTGAATCCCACTGCAGATCTATAAACATTCAAAATGTCAAATACCCACACTCTATGCACCAACACACGCCCGTGAATTGGCATCAATTCCAAGCTGGCACCTATCCCAACAGTACTTTGGGCCTACAAATTCTGACCCTGGGTTGAACCGTCATTCTCCCATTATTTTTTTGGTATTTAGTGATACTCATCATTAATAACCCCCCCCCAAAGTTGGTGGTTGCGGGAATCGAATCTGCGTCACAGTCCAGCTGACACACCAACTGAGCCACCCATCAGTTGGCAGGAGATCAGTAAAATTATTTCACACAAGGTATTTGTCCGAAGTGGATACATGATTCGAATGAGGTCAGATCGAGGCTGAAACACAGACAACCCAAACAACACATAGGACATGCATTTTCAGTAACTCTTTGTCCAATAGATAAATTATGGAATTTTAAAAGTTTCACATTCTATTTTTGTTTTGTATGTTTTTTGGTAATAAAATAAAAAAGATTTTATTAAAATAAAAAGGAGAAGATACAAGGAGAGTGACCAGAAGTCACGAGAGAGAAAGAGAGAAACAAGGCAAAATGCAACTTCCACAAAAAACCACACTACAAACCCAAGAAATCCAAAACCCAAAACACCAGGAAATGAAGAACTCGCTAAAAACAAGCCTGCATCATGAGACAAACAACCAAGCCCAAACATAGATGCGAAAAAACAAATAAAACTTCAATCCAATTCCACCCTTACTACTATGACCCAAAGCAACAACAAGGGAAAAAAACACCCCACCCAACAAGACACAACTAAGCCCTCCTTCTTTGATGTTATCTTTTATTTTAAAGTCACCCTTGCTACTATGACCCAAAGCAACAACAAGGGGAAAAAAAACACCCCAACAAGACACAAATAAGCCCTCCTTTGATGTTACCTTGAATTTTAACATCTTCTTGCTTGGTCCAACCCCAAGAAGACCCCCTTTCAGCGTAGCAAAAACTTTTGAGACCAAGACATCTTTATGTTTCTTCTGATTGCTAGAGTGTCCTTCCTGAACTTCAAAACATCAGGCCCCTCAATGATTCTTTACAGTCCCATGACAGGATTTTTCTCAAAAAACCTAACAACATCCTCCTCCGTACTTTTTTCAGTAACAACTTCTTCGGATCTATCTGCACATGAAAAGTTATGAGCACTATCAAGCAGTAAGGTGCTCTCAAAAGTATCCCCAATATCCTCCCGCACAGGCATTGGAATAATGTTTTCTAAGTCCTTAAACATCTTTCTAGTATAATCTTCTCCCCCCAAAGATAAGAAGACCCAATGCCATGCTCACTTCTAGTCCTGTATTTACAAACATCTTCACATCTATCAAATTTTCAATAACATGAGTCTCATCTATTGGAATTTCTTCTTTCTCTGAATCTAAATCCTTTTCTTCCTCCCCTTCACTTCCCTCTCCCTTCTCCTTTTCCAATCATCTTCATCATCATCTTGTAGTGGCCTTGTTCTGTATTGTCTCTTTCTTTTGAAAACCTTTGAAGAGGGATTAACTAAAGCTTTCTCATTTTCCCCCTTCACTACCCCTCCTTTCCCAAGGAACCCGTAGTTGCATTTTCTAAAATCCCCACCTCCAAGTAGACTCTCTCATCTCCCCGTCCCTCTCCTTCTAGCTTATCTGCCCCTTCTCTTCTTCCGCCTGTCACTCCTACAACAGTTTCTTTCTGGAGCTCACCTTCTTCTTGCTGTGATACACAACCACTATGAATAGTTGAAGCAATGCTCCCAGCTATAGACACAGTCTCTTCACTCTTGTCCCGCCTCTCTTTTGTTAGCGACAACCACTTCTCTCCCCTTCATTCCCAGCACATAGACCTGAATCCCCACACCTATTTTTGTTTTGTATGAGAAATTACTAATTAAAATTTCTTTCATCTTAATATTGGGTTGAGTTGAAAAACAGTCCACTTGATGTATGGAACTGTTTGAGATTGGATGCAAACCAGAAAATAAACAAATAAGAGAAGAAGAGAAGAGAGAGTTGGCGGCAATGAGTGTTAGAGAGTAAGAGGTTCGAACATAACCCCTCTCTAACACTCTAAATATCTTATTAATAAGTTAATCTTTGACAAATTACAGAGAGGCCCTTGAGTGGGCAGGAAAATACAAAAAACAGAACATTACAGAGTATGGGCCCAGAATAAGGCCCACAACAGAGAGAAACATAACATAACATGAAATGACAGTCTATGGGCCATTCAGCCCATCTTCC